TGGCGGAGGAAGGGGGTCTGGCCGCACCTGGACGCCGAGGCCGTCGGTTTCTTCTCGCGTGGCATGCTGGTCTTAGCGCAGGCAGACTTCGAGCAGCAGGTCGACCGCATCCTGAATATCTCCTCTGATGCAGAGGCCAAGCATGAGAAGGCCGCGTCGCAGAGCTGGAGACAGTGGGCGCAGGCGGCTTTTGTGGCTGGCGCTAGGGGAGCTCACCGCTTCCTGAAGCCCAAGGCCCTCCAGGAGATCGTGGACGGAGGCAATGGGCTGCAGCATGGGTACGAACTGGCCGACCGTAAGCTGGAATTTTGGGAAAGCTTCTGGGTGCGGCATGGTGGTGAGGCGGTTCGCCGACCTGCTGATGCTGACGCTTGGGAGCAGCTACCAAGGCTTGAGGCGGCTGACGTGCTCAAGGCCATACGTTGTTTTTCTTGGCAGACAGGTGTCGGGCAGGTCAACATCGCGCCCAGGGCCATGGAGCACCTCTCCCGCGGGGCGCTGACGGCCATGGCGCGCCTCTTCGAGCAGTGTGAGTACCTGCTATTGTGGCCAGACGGCAGATTCATTTCGAAACTTGTGCGGCTCCCCAAGCCAGGGGGTGGGGAGCGTCTGATTGTGCTGATGAACACGCTGGTCAGGATCTGGGGACGGGCGAGGCGGCCTGTCTCGGCAGCGTGGGAGAAGGCCCATGCGCTCCCAGAGGTTTGGGGCCACGCTGGAGGCAAGTCGTCGAGTGATGCCGCCTTTGATTTGGCTCTTACCAAGGAGATGGCGACCCTGTGCGATGATGACGCCATCATTGTGTTGCTGGACATGCTCAAATGCTACGAATTGGTCAGGCATGATGCCATATTGTTGGAGTGCAGGGCCAATGGATATCCCATGAGAATGGCGTTTATGCTTGTGCAGATGTACCAACAACTGCGTTCTGTGTACTCGTACTCGTCTTACTCGGTGGCGCGCAGGGCATGTCAGGGCATCCTGGCAGGCTGCACCCACGCCACGACGCTACTGATGGTGTTGCTGACTCGCAGTATTCGCCAGACGATGACAGTCGCTCCTCAGGTCCAGCCCAAGGACTTGGTGGATGATGTCGCGCTGTGTTGGGTTGGCAACGACCCGCGTGGAGTGCGGGAGATGGCCATTGCTACTCGTGCGTTCTGCAGGGCTGTTAGGCCCCTCGGACTGGTGCTGCAAATGGATAAGTCTGGTCACCTCACGACGTCCAGGCGTACCAGCTACCACTTCCAGAAGTACGCCAGGCTGCTGAAGATCTCTGGCAAGAGGCACATGCGGTACCTTGGGCACGATTTAGCTGGGTCATCTGCCACCAGAGCCGTGCAGAAGGATCGCCTGAAGTCTATGCACGGCAAGAAGGCCAGCGTCCGTGCCTTGCAGAAGGGAGCAGGGCGACAGCGAGCGGCTCGGCTTTGGGCCACGGGTGTGTTGCCATCCGTGGGGCACGGAGCCACGGTCAGCGGCATCAGCGACAGGGAGCTGCAGCAGATGAGGAGCGTGGCTGGCGTCTTCTGCGGCTACAGGGGGTCGGGCTCCCTGACGCTGTACCTGGCCGCGCAGAAGTGGAACTTCGACCCCATTTTCCACGCTACCTGCAGCATCGTGGGGCAGTACGCGGCGTGGGTGTGGGATGGGCGTGCGACGCTCTCCCGCCTGCAGCGTGCCTGGATGTGCTTGCGTGACTCCTGGGATGTACGCGACACTCACGTCACTTGGGCCAGTGCACAGGGCCCGCTGTCGGCGATGTGGTTGTCGCTCAGGAGAGTCAACTGGAACATGGCCAGCTCCACTATCTTGGTTGATGATGAGGGCCTGCACATCAGTCTGTTGCAGTATTGTCCCAGTGAGGTGCTGTTCTTCCTGCATCGCAGCCTGGACCGTTGGCAGAGCCACCGCATCCTCGACCAGCTTCCTGAGGCGCCCCCAGCCGATGGTGCAGGCAGGCGGCAGCACGTGTGGCTTCGTGCGCTTCGGCTGGGCCACGCCTCTTTGGCGCCTGGGCACAGAGGGGCGCTGGCCAAGCTGCAGTCCAACGGCTTCTGGTCGCCGCAGCGCCGCAAGCAGGCTGGCTACAGCGACGATGGCTCGTGCGAGTTCTGCGGGGAGGCCTACTGCGACCTCGAGCACGAGATCTTTGGCTGCAAGGTCTTGCATCAGCAGCAAGAGGACGAGGAGACGGAGCCGTACCCTGAGGACGTCGCCAGGAGGAGGAAGGACATCCTGGAGGCAGCCCCGTGGCAGGACGGGGGCCAGGTGCAGGACTTCTCGGCCCTGGACGTGCTCTACGCGCTGCCCATGAGGCCTGCCTTCAGGCCGCTGCCTGCACGCGCTCAGGCTGAGCGTGAGTGGGGGGCGATCGGCCTGCCGTGGCCGTCGAAGCTGTACGGGGGCGGTTCGTGTCTGGAAAGTGACTTCCCTGAGGAGCGGCGCTGCGGATGGGCCGTTGTGGCCTTGACCCGAGACCTGTGGCCGTACAAAGCTCTGTTCGGGAGCCTGGGGGGCCCCATCCAGTCGGTGCCGAGGGCCGAGCGGGTGGCTGGTCTCAAGGCCCTGCAAAGGGCCCAGAGGCCAGCCACGTACGTGACCGATCATTTGCAGCTGCAGGTCGAGGGAACGGCTTGGGAGGGTCGTCATGCTTCTGCCAGAGCGCCTCATGCGTCAATCTGGCGGAGCATCCACGAATTGTACAGGGGCGACCCTGTCAGGCCTGTTTTTGTTTGGACGAAGGCCCATCGCACTGTTATCGAGGGGTTCGATGCGTGCCTGGCATCCCAGGAGCCCCTGGAGCATTTTTTTTCGGCAACATGTGGGCGGATGTTTTCGCCAGAGTGGCCGCGGCCGACTTCCTTGGATCCACCTCCGTGGTCAAGGCTCACAAATTTTCTCTGCTTCGGGCCCAGGACACGATGCGATGTCTGGCCTGGGCGGCCGAGCGTGTGGCCCGCCTCTCCACCCCGTTCCTTCGTGCGCCTCCGAAGGCCGCGACTCGGCCCCGTCGTCCGCGGCGACCGACCGATCACGATTTCGTGGCCTTCGCTGGGGGAGCGATTCGCTGTCGTGCCTGCTGGAGGCAAGCCTCGACGGCTTCGTCGTTGAAGTCTCTGGCCTCCCGAGCGTGTGACCCCCAGGAGGTCGGGCCAGGACACCAGGTCCAGGCCTTAGATCGTGTCCTGATTTGTGTGAAGTGTGGGGCGCACGCTGTGCGCCCCAACCGGCTGTCGTTCGGCCTGTCTCGAGCGTGTAAGAGGGCTGGGACGGGGTCGGCTGGAGCTGGGAGTGGGGGGGACGGAGCCATCGCGTGGATGCTCGAGCAGGCTCGCAGGGGCCTGCATCCCAAGACGGGCGTGCCCCTCGAGCCGCTCGTCTTCTCGGAGCTCGAGGAGCCTGCGATGCCGCCGCAGGAGCCCGAGCCCGAGGCACAAGGATGAGGTTTGCTCCCTTGGTTCTCCCTTTCTGTCCCGAGGCGTGTTCGTGATTCACTTGCACGCTCTCTGCATTGTCTCCATTGTCTCCTCCTCCTCCTCCTCCCCCTCCTCCTCCTCCTCCTCCTCCCCCTCCTCCGTCTCCTCCTCCTCCTCCCCCTCCTCCTCCTCCTCCTCCTCCTCCTCCTCCTCCTCCTCCTCCTCCTCCTCCAGCCCGAGGGTTGGAGCAGCCAAGGGCTTCGGCCAGTGCCTCGTGCGCCGCGCCTCTCGGCAGGCCAGGGGCGGGCACCGCGCCCGACTCTGCCAGCCGCATCCAGTCCACTCGGCATCGCTCGGACGTGTGCATTTTTTTCTTCGGCGAGGGCCATCGAGGAGCATCCTCGATCACTTGGCGAAAAAGCCACGCACGAAACCGAAAAAAAGCACAGGGAATGGACGTCCGAGCGATGGCGAGTCCACGGGCGGAGGGGGGGGGAGGGGGAGGGATGCAGCGCGGTTCTCCCGGGAATCCCTCCCGTCGCCGGGGCGACGAGGCTGGCGCGTGCCTCCGCAGCTGGGGCTGCCAGGGCGGGACAAAGGCCAGGGAAATGCAGGACGAGACGAGGCAGGGGAACGCGAGACAGGACGAGGCAACATTGGGCACGGCAGCGTCCAGGCAGGCCCAGGGTGGGCCCAAGATGCCGCAGGCAGGGCCCCCGAGAGGGCGACATGTCCCAAACACCTAGTTGCTTCAAACACGACGGGTGCCCTCTCGCCTTTCCGCTCCCGCTGGGCTCTGTAGGCTTCAAGGTTGTCGTCATGTTGTTGGGCAACGCGTGGATACACTTTGATGAGTGGTGGCTGTTGTTTCCTGGAGGATCGGTGGCCTTGACAAAAAAGGCAACAAGACGGCCTCAAGATGGCCTGCGGAGGCTCCAGAGGGGCCTCGCGGGGCCCGTTACGGCCCCCGAGGTCTCCAAGGGAGCCCCCAGACTTGCAGAGGGCCCCAAAGCCCGCTCCAAACTCTTGTTGGGGAGTAAGCCAACACGACCAATCGTGGATGGCAGCCAGACGGCCCCGAAAGATCTCTCGAGGCTTCTCGAGAGCCCCCAAGACGTCCCCGAGAGGCACCTAAAAAAATCCCCGAGAGCTCCCAAAGAAGTCCCAAGAGGCCCCCATGAGGCCTCGTTAGGCGGGGCGGGGCAATCTTCCAGCGCGGCGCGAAGGAGAAGATTGGGGCTTGGAAAAAATAATGGTCTCAACGACATGGTTGGATGTGTTTGTTGAGTCATGTTTGTCATCGTCGCGATTGTTTCCCACAGTTTCGTGTGTCGTCGGATTCTTCGGCCGCTTGGGAACCGTGGCCAGATCGTCGTGAACCAGAGTGCCGCTGAGGGACACATGGTGGCATCGGACTGCACCAATCTGATCTGGAGAGCGAGATCGATTTGCGAACGGAGATAACTGATGCGCAACGCATTACACGCTTGCGCATGCATATGTACAATATGCCAGCATCACTGCCATCATAAGCTGCCATATACTCCCCTGCGCGCACTCTTCCGCGCATTTGCATCCCACAGCCATTGCGGCTCCGGCAGGGTGGCGGCGTTGCAGGTGCTGCTCAGCGTCGGCAGGCGCCCACCTGGCCGCCCCCCGCCGCCGGAGGCTGCTGCATCGGAGCGGCATGGAGCCCACCGAGGGCGCCGCTGAGTTTTTTGAAGAAGAGAACTACGTCGGCAAGTCCGTCGCGTTGAAGGAGCACGTGGCCACCGACGGAGATCAGCTCGACCTGCAGGCGGCAGGGCGTCCATGGCGCATTCTCTCTCTCAAGCTCTCTCGACCACTCGTGTGGGAGACCCCCCCCCCCCGCCAGAGCGCGCTACGCGCCACGCTGCCAGGCGATTCCCCAGACAGTCCTTGCCCTTAGGGGCTCGTGCTTCTGTCACTACGAATCGGATGAGTCCTCCGAGGTTTCGCCGCGTCGCCGCCCGTGGCCGCCTCGTGGCTGCCCACATTGGGAGGGGGGGGGTTCCGCCGAGGTTTCGCCGCGTCGCCGCCTCGTGGCTGCCTCGCTGCCGCCCAGTTGTTGGTCGAGTACGCCGAGGCTTCGCCGCGTCGCCGCCCGCGACCGCCTCGTGGCCGCCTCGTTCGCTCCCGCTCGGGGCATCCGCCAGGGCTTCGCCGCGTGGCCGCCTCGCTGCCGTCTCGTTGCCGCCCACCGCGCCTGCGGCGTCCGGCGAGGTGTCGCCGCGTCGCCAGCCCGTGGCCGCCGCGCTGCCGCCCCCTTGGGGGGGATCCGCCGGATGTTCGCCGCGCGGCCGCCTCGTGGCCGCCTCGTGGCCGCCTACCGCGCTTGGTGGGTCCGCCGAGGTTTCGATGCGTGGCCGCCTCGTTGCCGCCCACCGCGCTTGGGTGGTCCGCCGAGGTTTTGCCGCGTGGCCGCCCGTGGTCACCTCGTTGCCGCCCACCACGCAGTGCTTGCACGCAGGGCTTCTCCTTTCTTCTCTGAAGTATGTGGGTCGCAGACTTTGCACCACACGTCTCCCACATGAATACCGCATGGGCTACGCCGCACACCTTGCACCACGGACCTTCCACCACGCGGCTTGCACCACACGGCTTGCGCCACATCGCTTGCGCATCCACGGTGCAACAACCCACTGCTTGGGGGCCACGCTGGCCAGCGTGTGATGGTACGCATCTCTGTGCGCACGAGCCGACGGCGCCAGGTGGGCGACGTGGTCTACGTCCTGGAGCAGGACTGGGAGAGCGGCTGGTGGGGCGGGCACAAAGAGGGCGAGGAGAACACGGGCTGGTTCCCCGGCACCGCCCTGCGACTGCCCCTGGAGCCCGTGGGTGCCCGCCCGGCGCCGGCGGCCGCGGAAGGCTCCGACGCGGCGCCCGGGGCGGCTGCCGGCGGGGCGCCTCCCGCCGCGGCTGGCTCCAGCGGGCCTCTGGCCCCGGCAGGCGACCACTGCTGGCCGCCGCCGTATATAGGAGGGCCCGGCAGTCGGGGAGCAGGAGCAGCGTGTCGCTGATGCTCTAAGAGCTGCGTGTTGTTGACACTCTTTCTCCATCTGTCTCACCACCCACCAAACCACCCCAACCCAACCCGAAGGCTCAGATTTACCCTCGATTTCCAGTGGGGGGGGTGTCGGGAAACATCGAAAAAACACATGTGGAACTCTTACCCCCCCAACCCGAAATGCGGGTCTTCGGGTTGGGTTGGGGTGGGCTGGTAGGTAGTCGCTGTCTCCCTGCTGGGACGGATCGCGCCGGTCGGGGCCCGTCGGTCGGGGCGTCCGGTGGGGGCCAGCGCCCGTCGATCGATCGAGGGGCTGCTCCGCGCTCGCGGGGCGGATCGTGGCAACCTGGTCGGGATCGGGATCGGGCCGACGGCCAGGCTGGACCAGAGAGTGCGGCTCCCAGACATCCGCCGCTGCGATTCCTGTCTGCGCGCGGGCCCCGGACCTCTCGACCTGGGCGAGCTTCGCCTCCTGAGTCGTTTTCTGAACCGCCCCGAGCCCCGAAGCCTCCAGGCGCCTGGCCCCTGCCAGTCCAAAAGGAGCGCGGCTGAAGAACACGTCACCGACATCGTGCGCGAAGTTGTAACCGAAAGCGGAGTGGGACCGAAGTTCTGGGGGACATTGAGCATCATGTTGGTTTCGTGCTAAACACTTCGGTCACACTCGGGCGCGGTCGGAACATTTCGTGCGCCAGTTTCGGCAACGCTCTGGCAGATGTTCGGACACAGAGTCGGCCAGTATGCCTTCCTAGGCTACGTGAGACGCCGGCATCCAGAGGCCGCTGTCGGCGGCGAGCTCTGGAGGGAAGGGCCCAACAAATAGCTATGGCCTTCTGAGAAGCCGCCCCTGTTTTCGGAGAAGGCTCGGAAGACTTCTCAGACGGCGCGATGGCCTCTGAGAAGCCTCGCCGCCTTCTGACAATAGGCCTGCCTCCCCCCCTATTGGACGCCGCGTAATGGGGGGGTCATAAATGGGGGGGTGGCGAGGGTGGTTCGAAGAGGTACCCAAACGGTACCTAAACGAGCCCCCTGGGGCTCTGGAGGGGCCCGAAAGGGGCACGAAAGGGGACCTTTTCTGACCCCCCCTTCTATGACCCCCCCATTAAGCCACGCCCAACCCTCACCTCCCCCCTGGACTCGCCGCCAAACTGGGGACGAGTCGGCCGCCTCGACCTGCTCCGAAGCAGTGGGGGCGGCTGGGCTCCGAGGTCGGTGCCCGCTGCCGCCGGCCGGGCGGCCGCCTGCGACGAGGGGCGCTCGCCGTGAGTGAAGGGAGGGCCCTCTCGGGCCAGACGAGAGGGGGGGATACAGTGGGGGCGCGTGCCAAGAAACCAGTTGGATTCTGCCAGGGTGCCCTGGGTTTCTTGGATTTCGATGGGCCTCCAACAAGATCCTGACGATGTTCGATCCACAATCTTGGATTTTCACGGAACAAATCGCGGATTTCAGGGTTGGGTTTCTTGCGGAGGTTTCTTGTGGCCGAGCCCCCACTGTAGGGAAAGGGGGGGTCACGAAGTCTGCCGCATGCATCTGGTTTCGGTCCCACTTAGGGGCCCATTCCCCGATGCATGGCCGCCTCCGGCGCCGGGAGGCGCCGGGAAAAGCAGCTGCGTGAGCTGATTATCAGACCTCCCCTTTGCTATCCCCCCCTTTCGCCCAGCCTGATCCTCGGGGGAAACGGGCTTACAGTCGAGGTGAAGAAGGAGCCCTTTTCGTTGGGGAGGGGCTCGGTGTTCCTTGATTGTTTCACAGCTTGCCTCAGGTTTTCCTTATGTTTTCGATAAGATGTCGAAGTTTAACTTGTGGAAAAAGGGGCCTCGTTCCTTATTTAGGGTTCCTTAGGTCAACGCCCCGACTGTACGGGCTTGGACCCGAGGGCTTTACCCAGAGCCAGTCTCCCAGACACGCAGCGTCTGGCAGCCATCGGGGCGGAAGTTCGCAGAGGCCCTCACCGCGCCCTGTGGCCGTCGACAGAAGAAGACAGCATGCAAAACCGGTCTCGGGGCAAGGGTCTGGGGACGTTGTGCGTTGGGCACTCCTGAACATCGGCTCCCTGAGGCGGCAGGCACCCGCAGGAAGGGGAGGAGGAGGAGGAGGAGGAGGAGGAGGAGGAGGAGGAGGAGGAGGAGGAGGAGGAGGAGGAGGGAGGGGGGGAGGAGGAGGAGGAGGGGGCAGAGCCGCGAGGGCTTCCCCGGGGCCGCGTGTTGAAAAAGGGGGACGTCGCACGTCTGGGTCTTCGCCCGGGGCAGTCGGAGAGAAGCGTCCAGGACCCCCTTTCCTCCTGGACCCGCTCCCCCCATGCCAAGGTCGACGGCGCGCCCGCGGGGGAAGGCAGAGGTGTCGGGCCTCCTCCTCCTCCTCCTCCTCCTCCTCCTCCTCCTCCTCCTCCTCCTCTCCTCCTCCTCCTCCTCCTCCCTCCTCCTCCTCCCCCTCCTCCCTCCTCCCTCCTCCTCCTCCTCCTCCTCCTCCTCCTCCTCCTCCTCCTCCTCCTCCTCCTCCTCCGGGTGAGCTTCCCGAGTCTTCGCCGAAGCCACGGAGGGGCTCTCCGGAGGTCAGATATGGCTTCGCGCCGCCGCCTGGGAAGGCCTTCCCCCTCTCGCTTCCCCGCGGTGCGCCGCCGGCAAGCTCCAGAGGAGCAAGAAGGCATACTCCAGATTTCGTACTAAAGGGAGGGGGGTCTCATTTCGGGGGGGGTCTCTTCCAGGCTATCTTGGAGGGCCTGTGGGGGTCTGGGGACGACGTTTTGGAGGGTTCTCCCACGGGGGGGGGTCTGAAATGGCTTGTCTTGGAGGGTCCAGACCCCCTCCCTTTTATTACGAGATCTGGAGTAACATCAAGGGCGTACAACAACGCCCCTACCCTGGCTCATGAGGCGCTGTGCGCTGAACCCGTGCGGGCTGACAGGGTTGAACCCCGCGTATCGCGCGTGCCGCGCGGCGTCCCTGCGGCTCTCTGGCCTGTGGGAGCTCTCAGGAGGTTTACCGACTACGCACTTGTAACCCAGGGTAGGGGCGTTTTTTCATTCCTCAATAACAATGAGACGTTCCGATTGTTTCCGCACGGGGTCCAAAAACGAGGCCCGCAGGATACCCCGGAAGTCCTGGAGCGTCTCTGGAGCCACTCCCAGACGTGCGATGTCCTGACTTTCCCATACGCGGGAAGTCCCAACCCTTTCCCCAGTTTCATCCTGAGTCGTCATTTGATGGTCCCAGGGCCTGGTGATGGGCTGAAAACTAAGCAAAACCGTTGTCCCGATTTTATCAAGACGTTGCATGTTTGGGATCCGATCATGGCCCCACTCTCAAGGGTAGTTCGTTTTGTTTGCGTCTGTCTGTTCAGTGGGGGGGGCAAGGTTTGTCCGCCCCAGCCGGCGCCCACAGCAGAGCGACAAAATCTTGGCAAAACCATCGGAGTTTCGAGGTTGCCCCCCCAACAACAAAATCGCCCTAACGCTACATGCACGGGCGCGGAAAACGAGGGCCGCCAGATACCCTGGAAATTCTGGAGCGCATCTTGAGCCAATCCCATCATGACCCCATGTCTAAGCCATGGCCCCACTCTGCCATGGCCCCGTCTCCCATCATGACCCCACCCTGACTCCCGAACCAGTCCTGAGCCAGTCCTGCCGTCCGATCCCGAGCCAGCCCCGAGCCACTCCCGAGCCAGCCCCGAGCCACTCCCGAGCCAGTCCCCGAAGGTACATGCGGGACGGCCGCATGGTGGCCTCGCCGCAGGGGCCCAGGACGCCCGGCGCGGGCGCCCCCGCCCAGGGCGCCGCCGCGGTGGCGCTGGTGCTCGCCGGCCCCGCGGCGGGCCCCGGCGCGCCCGCGGAGGGCCCGCAGGCCTCGGCCGGCCGGCCGGACGGTCCGGGCGCGGGACGGGTCGGGGGTCAAGGTCAGGCAGTGGCGAAGCGCCCCGGCTCGCCTATAGCCCTCCTCCTCCTCCTCCTCCTCCTCCTCCTCCTCCTCCTCCTCCTCCTCCTCCTCCTCCTCCTCCTCCTCCTCCTCCCTCCTCCTCCTCCCTCCTTCTCCCCCTCCTCCTCCTCCTCCTCCTCCTCCTCCTCCTCCTACCCTCCTCCTCCTCCTCCTCCTCCTCCTCCTCCTCCTCCTCCTCCTCCTCCTCCTCCTCCCTCCTCCTCCTCCCTCCTTCTTACCCTCCTCCTCCTCCTCCTCCTTCTCCTCCTCCTCCTCCTCCTCCTCCTCCTTCTCCTCCTCCTCCTCCTCCTCCTCCTCCTCCTCCTCCCCCTCGTCGTCCCTCGTCGTCCTCCTCCTCCTCCTCCTCCTCCTCCTCCTCCTCCTCCTCCTCGTCCTCCTCCCCTTCCTCCTCCTCCTCCTCCTCCTCCTCCTCCTCCTCCTCCTCCTCGGAGGCCCCTAAACGGGGGGGAGGGTCAAGCAGTGGCGAAGCGCCCCGGCGTGCCTATAGGCCCACCAAGCAATGTGCTGAGAGCCTGTCGTGGTTTCGACGGCGTGTTCTACTGAGAGCATGCCTGGCCGCTCTAGTGTGTTTTGTGTCAACGCATCGGGCCGCGAGCCAGGGTCAGTCCGAGTGCGGGGTCTTGCAGGATCCAGCAGGGTCAGGGGTGCACTGGCCCGGGCGTGTGCGCAGGGACCTGCAGGATCCTGCAGGACGTTGCAGGGTCCTGCAAGGCCTGACAGAGCCGGGTCTGGATTGACCCGGGCCAGTGGATCCCCGAAAGAAGGACCATCCCCCTGGAGGATTTTCCTCCGCCTCCTCATCCTCCTTGCTCGATACGACCGCGCCCGCTGGATCGCCTCATCGTCGGCGGGCCTTCGCCTGCGCCTGCCTGCCGCGGCCGCTGCCGGAGGTGTCGTTGTCGAAGACGGATGGTTTGTTCCTCCTTTTGGTCGTGACTGCCTGCGTTCGTCCCTTTCCTTTTCGGAGTGTTGCCTCCTCCTCCTCCTCCTCCTCCTCCTACTCCTACTCCTACTCCAACTCCTACTCCTACTCCTTTTCCTTTTCCTTTTCCTTTTCCTTTTCCTCCTCCTCCTCCTTTTCGGAGTGTTGCCTCCTCCTCCTCCTCCTCTTCCTCCTCCTTCTCCTCCTCCTACTCCTTTTCCTTTTCCTCCTTCTCCTCCTCCTCCTCCTCCTCCTCCTCCTCCTCATGCTGCCCTCCTTTCCTACGGCCCGAGTGCTGGCGTGCGCTCGCTCGCTCAGCCGCCCCCCCCCCTCCCCGAGATAAAGGCCGAGGTGGCCCGCCTGCGCGCGGAGGTCGTCGGGTTGCAGGGCGAGCTGCAGCAGCTGAGGACCTCCGCGTCCTCTCCTGGATCGGGTTGGATACTTCGGTTCGGTGGCAAATCATGGGAAGAGCTAGAACCTGCGCAGTCTTGTTTGAACGGCGCGCTGGCGTCGATGTGCGTCAGAGAATCGATGGAATAGCGCCGATGTTGCTCCGATTTGGCGTCGATTTGGCGTCGATCAGAGTTGACCAGCGTCGATTGGCGTCGACCAGCGTCAATTCGGAAGAGCCAACAAGATGGTGCGGGAGGCTCCCATGAGTTGCCGCCGAAGGCACGGGTACGTTAGATTCGCGTCGCGTCGACTGGCGGCGATCCCGCCGCCGGTATTCCACGTTGAACGTTGCCGGCGACCCAAAGTCGGTCGATGTTTATCGATTTGGTGCTTCGGACATTGCGCAACGTTCAAGGTGGAACGGTCCCGGCAGTGTCAGAAACCTGCGCCGAAGTGGGTTGGACACGAAGTTGCCGTTCCCTTCTCTGTTTTTTTGTCTTGTATGGCCTCGTGGAAGTCCTTCGTCGCCACCCTTGAATTCGCCTCAGGTTTTTGGTCATAGCGCACCCCTGGAGAGGTCCAGGAAGTAGCGGTCGTGTCGGCATCATGTGGCCAATCCCGTCCCTCATGGGTACAATTTACACAGACCGGCCACGAGGGTCTGCCGTGCACCCTGGCGCGGCCGATCCGATTCGGTGTCGCTTCCGTGCCGATGCAGCCCGATGCGATGCACATGTCAAGTCGATCCGATTTATCGGGGGAGCGTAAGACCTGGGTTTGCCAGGACTCGGGTTCGCCATCGTTTTTTGACGACCGCGCCTCGGATTTTGACGAGGAGGAGTTTCGTGGGATGTCTGCAGCGGGAGGCCTCGTCAAAATGCAGGCTCGACCTCGTCATTTTTTTGACGACCTCGTCGGGGATTTCCGAGTCCCCTGTACCCAGGTCTTTCGTCCCCCTGAATTTACCAACTCGAGGCTGACTGATCCTGCGCCCCCTATCCCCTCCGAAGTCGGCACGACCAGAGCAGACTGGCCGCGAGAGGGAGAGGCGGGGCGACAGGTTCGAGGCTGAGGATCTCGAGCGTTTTCGTAAGCTCCAGGGCGGCTCGCGAGCCTCGGGAGGAGGAGGAGGAGGAGGAGGAGGAGGAGAAAGAGGAGGAGAAAGAGGAGGAGGAGGAGGAGGAGGAGGAGGAGGAGGAGGAGGATGCTCCGCAGCGCCCCGCTGGGAGCGTGTCGGGGGGGGTGCCCGGAGCGTGCCGCACGGCCGTCGGAGAGCCGAGCGCTGACCCGAGAACCGACATGGAGAGTCGGGGCGGGCCCCACGGGCTTCGACACCCCCTCGAAGGATCGTCGAGAAGATGGGTTCTGGGGGAACAAACCATGACATAAACATAAAAACTCAGAGCTCCGCGCAGATTTCTCGGATCGGCGCTGGGGCCCCCCGGCGGCGCCTCCGGCGCCGCCCCTTGCGCGCTCCGCGCGCCAGGGAGGGGGGTCCAGCGCCGATCCGAGAAATCCGCGCGGACCTTCGAGTTTTTATGTTCATGCCACTTTTTGTTCCCCTAGATACGATTGGTTCCCCCATGGGGGTAAAGAACACAGCTCACCAATTGGGGCGGTCGGTGAGGTGTGCACGGCATGCCCGTGTCGTGCCTCATCGAAAGCGGCGCCACTGCGGGCGTTCAAGGTTGAACGCCGCCAGTGGCCAGAATTCGGCCAGCGTCGAGTGATTTGAGGCCTGCCTGATCTCGTTCAGGGTTGCACGTTCCACGCCACGTCGGATATCAGCGCCGAACTCGTTAAGGCACGAACCCGTCGTACAGAACGAATGTTAAGGAAGACCAGCATCAATTTCTGAGCATGTTGAGCAGTACTCGCTGTCGAGGTCGCCGCGCACGTGCCCAACAGCGGCCTCTGTCGTTTTGGACAACGTTTCCGTTTGGGTACCACACGACTTGTTGGCGTATCCATTCCGAGCGTGCGGGTCCCAGTCAGTCCCACCTCGCGAACGACGAGGTCGAGCTGTTTCGTCGTTCTCGGCGCCATAGAGGGCGCTTACGGCGCAGATGTCCGTATCCCATAGCGTTGCACTCCATTCGATCACTCGCCTAACTCTCTCTCTCTCTCTCTCCCTCTCTCTATACGTATTCACCCTCCTACATTTACACATATGTACACACCCCTCTGTATATACATATAATTATATATAGATGCATACCCCTCTGTATATACATCTTTACACCCCTCTAAAGATCCACTTGCGCATCATCGTAGTCGATCCCTCCTTTGCCCCTCTCGATCCTTCCTCATTCCCGCCTCCCTCCACCTCTCGGTGGCTCGTGGCTGCTCCCTCCCTGCCTGCCTTCCGCATTCCTCCTCTTCCTCGGCCCTCTGGCCCCCCCCCTCCCCTGTTGCAGAGACTCAGGAGGCAGTCATCCGCCGACCAGGGCAGGCTGCGTGAGCTGGAGCAGCTGCTGAGTGACCAGGAGCCGCGGCCCCATGGCACGAGGGAGGGCTGGCGAGCACCGACGGAGTCTGATCGGGGGCGAGGGGCGAGGAGCACGAGGGAGACGTGGAGTGGAGAGGGTATCGGGTGGGAGGTAAGACGAGAGAGGGGTAGGACGAGGGACGACAAGAGGAGGAAGAGGAGGAGGAGGAGGAGGAGGAGGAGGAGGAGGAGGAGGAAGGAGGAGGAGGAGGAGGAAGGAGGAGGAGGAGGAGGAGGAGGAGGAGGAGGAGGAGGAGGATTGGACAGGAGAGAGGAGGAGGCAGAATTAAGGAGGAGGAGGAAGGAGTACTGCCACGCTCGTGCGCTGGAGCCGGCCGTCGCTGGCCTGGCGGCCGGCCGGTCTCGGCGGCGGCAGCTCGTCCAAGATGGCGGACGGAGATGGTCCGTGGCGCAAGCGGTGCGGTCCGGGGGCGCCCGCGGGCCAGAGGCCTGGGCCGGGAACACCCCACGGGCGCGTCGCCACGCTGGCGGCGCGCGGGTGCGGGTGGTCTTCCCCTCGCCTCTGCGGGGGAGGCTGGTCGCTCTGCAGGGGTCCCCCCTCCGTTCCTGCTCTCGCTCTCAGCCTGCGGCAGCCGGGGCCGCCCTCGCACGCAGCGTCGAGGCCGCACCTGTGGAGCTCGGGGGAGTCGTGCCAGCCCACGCCGTCTGTCTGGACAACCCGTGGGACGCCCTCGCGCACGCCCTCGCGGAGGCGCGAGTCCACTGGCGAGAGGAGCTCCACGTCGGGGGCGGGCCGCCGGAGGCCCTCTTCGGGATGAGCGCCACCTCGCCGCAGTGGCGGTCACCGAGCTGTCTCTCTGGGCCTGGCGTGTCCCGCCCATGGGGGCCTCCAGGGAGAGGGGCGCCGCACCCCGGGCGGCCGGAGCACGCGGGAAGTCCCTGGCCGCCGCCGCCGCGTCTGGAGCTCCCCCCCGCGCCGCGGGGCCAGCCGGGCCCGGCGGTCTTGGCAGATGCCGCTCCTGTCGGGGGCGGAAGAGAGGGGGGGGATGACTAGGGGGGGGGGGATATCATTCGCAGGCCTAGAGATTGACACCAACACCAATTTCGGCGGTGTGCCTCCACCGAGGGAAGAAGATCCCGATCTCGGCGATGGTGGTAATATTCTGGCTTCCAAGGTGGCCGAAATATTACCACCAACACCGAAGTCTAGGATCACCTTCCCCCTGTGGAGGCAACCCCCTGTCTTGGTGTTGGTGCCAATTTCCAGGCCTCCGATATCATGGCGCGGGCCATGATATTTCCCCAGATTTCATGGCGCCTCTTCTTATTTCATGACGTCCCTGGCCCCCCCGCTGGGCCGCGCACGTGCCGCCGGTCATGATTTGCACCCCGCCCTCTTGGACACCCCCCTCTTTGCCGCTCCCGATCCTGCAGACTTCGTTCGGGACGACCGACATGGGTACGGAAAGAATGGGTGCAATGCCCAACAGCAGGTCCTGTTCATCTTGAGCAGGACTCGCCGTCCGCGCCGCCGCGGCCTGTGTCCATTTGAGACAGAAGGCCGCCTGCACAACAGCGACAACATTTGATGTTGGGCATTGTATCGGGGGAGCGTAAGACCCGGGTTTGCCGGGACTCGGGTTCGCCATCGTTTTTTGACGACCGCGACTCGGATTTTGACGAGGAGGAGTTTCGTGGGATGTCTGCAGCGGGAGGCCTCGTCAAAATGCAGGCTCGGCCTCGTCATTTTTTTGACGACCTCGTCGGGGATTTCCGAGTCCCCCGTACCCGGGTCTTACGTCTCCCCGATTGTACCCATTTTTTCCGTACCCATTTCGGGCGTCCACGCTCGTGGGCATCTCTCTTTCATCCAGTCGGGGCTGCTGCGGTGGAGCATCTCGAAGGCGACCCCTTCGTCCGAGCGAGGCTGGTCGTTGCAGTCCTCGCGCAGGAAGCCTGCGGTTTATCCGGGCGCACTCCCTGACAGTATCGACGGCGGCTTTGTTGTTTTGGGCATCCTGGGCGCAACCTGCCAGGATGACGCTCCTTCAGATTTCGAGGCTGCTGCGGCACAGTGGACACATCCAATAAGAAATGGAGATGTTGCTATCCAGCAGTGCAGGATGATGATTAAGATACTACCGTGGGTCGTTATCACGCGACGGCGCCCAGGATATTGATTAGATTAAGTGGTTGTGGACCAGGAGACTGCTTTTCGATCGTTCCCTACCGCCGTCGTCGGACACGCGCCTGGACAGTCGACGGGCCAGACGGAGCCGAAGCGAACGAGGAAGCCGAAGATTTGGAAACTATGTTGTGAATCGTTCCCCCCACATACGGCGCAACACTGCCGCCTCCTGCCTCTTAGGATACGCCTATGTGGCCAAGCGTTTGGGGAAAGTTTGGCCACGCTATCGGACCAAGTGTTCCCCCAGCCGTTGTGGAAACCCTCCGCCAGAGGAGCATGAAATATTGATATCGACAAGTTTCGAAAGTCCCAGGGTCTCCCGCCCTTTCGCGCGGGCTCCGGAGACGAATGGTCGAGCGCATTCCGTCGCGCAGGCTCTCTGTGTGCTGCGCGCGTTGCCAGTCTCGTGCCTCGGAGCGCCCTCGGAGACTCCAGGCTGCATTCTGTTTTGCTTCTGGGGGGCCCGCGAGGCGCAGCTGCTGCAGCGCGCTTTCCGAAGCCGCCCCCCTTCGCGTGCCGCTCTCGCGAGCCGCAGGGGCGCGGCGCGCGCGGCGCCCACTCGCGTGCGGCGGGGCGCGTGAATCCGCCGGTTGCGCCCGGCAGACCCGTCGGACCGCCCTGACATAATTCCAGATTGTAGAAAAGTTCAATATTGTTACAGCTTCCCGATTTGACAATATTTTGTTCATTGATATTCAGGAGCCGCCCTGGCAAGTGTTCCAGCTTCCAGCTTCGTGAATCTTGTGATTCGGAAGCCGCCCTGACAATATTTCCGGATTAAAGCGCCCCGCGTTTACGCAAAAGTGTTCCCGGAATTTTGAAAAAAGGAGTCCCGTAATCTCCAAGAAACAGGGAGGCGTGGAGTGCGCCCCGCCGCGGAGGACATCGGAATAATTCCGAAGTCCGGAAGTTTGCAAAATGGATTCCGGAGTTTTTCCAAAGCGACTCCATTTTTACCTAACAGCGAAGACTGATAGGTTTCTAGTGGGATCAAAAGAGAGCAGCAGATCACTCCACAGGGGGGTCCGGGCAGGTGTTGGGAGTTGCCGGGCGGCAGGTGCCGGGCTCGTTTTTCACCAACAGTCACACACTTCGTGCTCTTCGACTTCCCAGAACTCCATTCCCAGGCCACATTCTCAATACCCGGATGCAACTGTAGGCCACTTCGTGCTCTTCGATTTCCCAGAACTCCATTCCCGGGCCACATTTTGGATGCCCGGAGCCAACTGTAGGCCACTTCGTGCTCTTCGATTTCCCAGAACTCCATTCCCGGGCCACATTTTGGATGCCCGGAGCCAACTGTAGGCCACTTCGTGCTCTTCGAGTTCCCAGAACTCCATTCCTGGGCATGATTTTGAATGCCCGGAGCCAACTGTAGGCCACTTCGTGTTCTTCGAGTTCCCAGAACTCCATTCCCGGGCCACATTTTGAATGCTGAGGCAGGCTGATGCTGCTGAGGCTGAGGCAGGCTGAGGCTGAGGCAGGCTGAGGCTGAGGCCGAGGCTGAAGGCAGACTGAGGCTGAGGCTGAAGCAGGCTGAGGCTGAGGCTGAGGCAGGCTGAGGCTGAGGCTGAGGCAGGCTGATGCTGAGGCAGGCTGAGGCTGAGGCTGAGGCTGATGCAGGCTGAGGCTGAGGCAGGCTGAGGCTGACGCCGAGGCTGAAGGCAGACTGAGGCTGAGGCTGAAGCAGGCTGAGGCTGAGGCTGAGGCAGGCTGAGGCTGAGGCAGGCTGAGGCTGAGGCTGAGGCAGGCTAAGGCTGAGGCTGTGACTGCCGTTGCCACTGCGACTGTCATCGCGAATGCGACTACGACTGCGAGAACAGCAGAATTCTACAACTGGATTCTCATCTGAATCTTAAGGGGAATGCTTCCAGATATGCTCCTACACATCGCTGTTAGGTTGCTTTGCCGGGATAATTTTTCGAAATCGGTTCCAGGAGTCCTCCAAATGTAGGCCAGACATGTTCATTACCTAACAGCGAAGACTGATAGGTTTCTAGTAGTGTCAAAAGAGGTCACAGATCACTCCACAGGGGGGTCCGGGCAGGTGTTGGGAGTTGCCGGGCGGGCCTGTGCCGAACTCGTTTTTCACCAACAGTCACACACTTCGTGCTCTTCGACTTCCCAGAACTCCATTCCCAGGCTCATTCTGAATAACCGGATGCAACAGTCACACACTTCGTGCTCTTCGAGTTCCCAGAACTCCATTCCCGGGCCACATTCTGGAGGGCCGGATGCAACAGTCACACACTTCGTGCTCTTCGAGTTCCCAGAATTCCATTCCCGGGCCACATTTTGATGCCCGGAGCCAACTGTAGGCCACTTCGTGCTCTTCGAGTTCCCAGAACTCCATTCCCGGGCCACATTTTGAATGCCCGGAGCCAACTGTAGGCCACTTCGTGCTCTTCGAGTTCCCAGAACTCCATTCCCGGGCCACATTTTGAATGCCCGTAGCCAACTGTAGGCAACTTCGTGCTCTTCGACTTCCCAGAACTCCCATTCCTGGGCCACATTTTCAGCAGGGGCAAGAGCACGACGAGGAGGAGGACGAGCAAGACCAGGAGGACGAGGACGAGCAGGAGCAGGACGAGGAGCAGGAGGAGCAGGAGAAGAAGGACGAGCAGGAGGAGGAGGAGGACGAGCAGGAGGAGGAGGACGACCAGGAGGAGGAGGACGACCAGGAAGAGGAGGAGGAGGAGGAGGAGGGGAGGGGGAGGAGTACCAGGAGGAGGAGGGAGGAGGAGGAGGAGGAGGAGGAGGAGGAAGAGGAGGAGGAGGAGGAGGAGGACGAGGACGAGGAGGAGGAGGAGGAGGGGGGGGGAGAGTACCAGGAGGAGGAGAACGAGGACCACCAGGAGGAGGAGGAGGAGGAGGAGGAGGAGGAGGAGAGAACACCAGGAGGAGGAGGACGAGCAAGACGAGGAGGACGAGAACGAGGACGACCAGGAAGAGGAGGAGGAGGAGGAGGAGGGGAGGGGGAGGACTACCAGGAGGAGGAGGAGGAGGAGGAGGAGGAGGAGGAAGAGGAGGAGGAGGACGAGGAGGAGGAGGAGGAGGAGGACGAGGAGGAGGAGGGGGGGGGAGAGCACCAGGAGGAGGAGAACGAGGACCACCAGGAGGAGGAGGAGGAGGAGGAGGAGGAGGAGGAGAGAGCACCAGGAGGAGGAGGACGAGCAAGACGAGGAGGACGAGAACGAGGACGAGCAGGAGGGAGGAGGAGGAGGAGGAGGAGGAGGAGGAGGAGGAGGAGGAGGAGGAGCAGGAGAAAGAGGAGGAGGAGGAGGAGGCAGGCTGAGGCTGAGGCTGTGACTGCGACTGCCGTTGCCGCTGCGACTGTCATCGCGAATGCGACTACGACTGCGAGAACAGCAGAATTCGACAACTGGATTTTCATCTGAATCTTAAGGGGAATGCTTTCAGATATGCTTCTACACATCGCTGTTAGGTTGCTTTGCCGGGATAATTTTTGTTCGTTTTCGAATATATCTTCTTTTTTTCAAATACACCCTCGGAGAATGTTGGAGAGTCGCGCGTGGTTTGCCTTACCAGGTCTTTGGAAACCCGCCGAGGCGCGCAGCGCGCGGCGGCGGGCGACCGGGCGGCGCGCCACCGTCCCCCCCCCCCCCGCGCTCGGCAACGAGAGGGGGGATCAGCCAGTGCCAGATAGCCCTCCACGGGCGACTGCTCGATTGCGAATGGGTGGCCGACCAGCGGCGCCAGGCAGAGTAGGCGATCTTTGGCACAGAGTGTACACCGCGCGAAGGCTGTTATGAATCACGGAAGCTCCGGAACGTAACAGTAACAGTTTGTGTCAATAGATTCTTCTCGTCCTATTTCGGGAAACGCGTGAGGAAGAGGAGAGGCGCGAGAGGAAGGAACAGCGGTAGGAGGAGGAGGAGGAGGAGGAGGAGGAGGAGGAGGAGGAGAAGGAGGAGACCTCTTGGGAGCCTCTTGGAGGCCTCTTGCGGGCCTCCTTGGGCATCTTGGGGGCCTTTGGGAGCTTCTCGGGTACCTCTCTAGCTGTCTTACGGCGTCCCTGGCCCATCGGGCGCCATCATTGGAGCCTCTCTGGGCCGTCTTGCAGCCCCCTTCGGGCGCTTCGGGGCCATCTTGGCCGCCTTGGAGGCTCTTGGAGTGTCTTAGGGCCCTTTGGGGGCCGTCTTGGAAGCATTTTGGGCCGTCCTGGGGCCATCTTGGAGGCCTCTTGGGCACTCTGGGGGCGATCTCTGGGGCCTCTTGGGCAGTCGGAAGGTCGAAAAATCCAAATGCCAAAATCCTTCCAAAACCCAAAGGACATCAATAATGTTGGCCTCTGCGGGCCCTCCTGGAGACCTGGAGGCCTCTTGGGCCGTCTTGAAGGCTTCTTGGGGGCCTCTGGGACCGTCTTGGATCGTCTTGGAGGCTTCATGGGCGAACTTGGAGGCATCTTGGGTTCTTTTGGGCCATCTTGGAGGCCATCTTGGACCGTGTTGGGCGAACTTGGAGGTCACCTTGGCCGTTTTGGAGGCCATTTTGGGCCATCTTAGAGCCATCCCGAGCAGAACAACGCTTAGCAACCGGATCTTCCAGTGGCCGGCGGCATCGGCTTCTTTGGGAAAATAGCTAAACTAAGCCGTAAGACGTTCAGCACGCCAGGCCCCCCTGTGATAAATCAACAGAGGGTGGCGGACATTAGTGGCCTTCGGCTCATCCCGCCACCGTGCCTTGGTTGTCGGTCAGAGGCCTCTTGGGACCGTCGTGGCCCGTCGCTGGGTCTTTTTGGGCCCGAAAAAGTCATGCGGGAAGATGCCTTGGGCGCGCTGGGAGACCCCAGGGGTTTAAGAGTTTGGGCCTTACAAGATCCTCAAGCCCAGAGATCCAACGCATTGAGAAAATCAAAACGGAAGTTTTTCGCGAAGTTCGGCCCCTAGGGGCCCTCGCTGGGCCTCGGGACCGTCACAAAACGACTCAGGATGAAAAACTGGTCCTGGGGAATGGGTCGAGACTTCTGGGGACCCCGTATGGAAAAAATCAAGAAGTCGGATCTCAGGGAGGTTGAGGACCGAGGCTTAGTGGATTCAGCAAGAGAGCTGGAGGCACTCCAACACTTGCCTCGCAGGTACGGTGGTGGAATATACGTGTATCGATAGATATGTCTACACCTATGCTTGTATACTGGGCTGTGTTCTTCGTCGACAGTGAGCGTCGTAAGGTGCCAGAGGGTACGAGATTCTCGTGGGCCACCCGATGACAGGCCAATCTCGTACTTAGCGTGCCTACTCCAAGGTATCTCGTTGGCGAGCCTCTCGTCCGAATGAAACTGGTCGCTGGAGTCCGCCGCATGCTGGAAGGCCTCTGGCATCTTGGCGTCTGGTGGATCAGACCTGCAGTCCATCCGCGCGCGTTCTTTCATGTCGATGAGGGCCTTGTCGTTGTCCGTGGCGTTGCCCCAGGCGTCTCCAGCCAGGAGGGTGCTGGCGGAGGCCGAGCTTGGTAAGCCCAAGCGCACCGATGCTCGCCGCACTCGGAAGCGGCCCCCGTGCCCATGGACGCCGAAGCAGCCCCCATGAGCGTCTCGCGCCGCCGAGGCAGCCCCCATGGCCGCCTCGCGCCGCGCAAGGGCCCGCGCCAGCCTTCGCTCGGCGACCGCGCGTCCGCCACCGCCCGGCGCCGGTCACTGAGGCCTGTGGGGCTCGGGCGCCTCGGGCCCCCCGCGGGTGGGCGGCGGCCTTCCTCTCGGTGCCCTCGCCGCGGGGGGGCGGGCCAGGCACCGAAGCGCCAGGGGTCGGCGGTCCCGGCCTCCCCGCCGCCGCTGCCCTCGGGCCGCGGAGGCCTGGCGGCCGCCCGCAGCGGCGGCCAGCGCCTCTGGGGCGGGCCCAGCGCCGGAGCCGAAAGCCGCAGAGCGGGCTGGTCCGTGCGTGCTGCGAGGCCGCTGGCCTGCGGCGGCTCTGGCGGTGGCCCGCCTGGAGGTGCCGCCTGCGGTCCGCGCTTCCTCGCCGCGCCGTGCTCCCCGGCCGCGGCCGCCCGGAGGGGCGGGCGGGCGCCCTGCAGGCGCGAGGGCTGAGCCCAGGGCTCGAGCTACACGGTGTTTGGGCGATGTCGCGGACTGTCTCCGTTCGGATGCCGTTTCGCAGCAAAGGCAGGACGAGGGCCGAGCGAAGGGGAAAAATAACAGGGCGAGCACGAGAAGCACTGCTTAGCCCGAGCCCTGGCCGAGGCCGACGTGGACGTCGGCCTGCGCGGTGCACTGCGCTTCTCCTGGGCTTCGGCGCGGGGGGGGCGCGCAGGCGAGCGCGCGTCGTGCATCGCGGGGTGCGGCCGTCAGAGCTATGTATAGCCCAGTGGACGCGGCGGGCGACGTGGCCGATGCGGCTGCCCCCGCGATGCTTTCTTGCCTCCTCCCCGTCACTCGGAGGAGGAAAAGGTACCCATACCTCTACCCTTCGCTCGTTTTCACCTTTTCGGGGCCTCCTGGGCGGCTCTCGTCACCACCGCAAGATTCGCCTCGAAATTCTGGTTAGAGCGCACCCCAGGGGAGGTCCGGGGAGTAGCGGTTCGGTACCCTTTGCCCTCCCCGCCACAGGTCGATCTTTCTGCCCGAGCCGCCGTCCTGCGTGCCTCTCTGCGCTTCGGCGGGGGGACGCGCGGCGGACTGTCGTGGCAACGTGAGAGTGTAGCCCTCCGCACTCGCCGTTCGTCTGGAGATCCTTGTGTCGCGTGGGCGGGGTAATCGGACCCGCTGCCGTTGGTCCAGATGCTGCGTACGACCGGCTCGATACTGTCGAGCCAATATTGTTGATCGTCGGGGAGCTTAGTTGCCTCGATACGCCCGTTTCGAAAAGCAACACGTGCCGTGTTCAAGACGTCCGTGTCAATATCTTGCATGTTGGCTCAACATGTTGGCCCACGTGTTGCCGAACGTATGGCGTCATACCTACGTTTCAGTCTACGTGTCGAGCTCCGTGTCAATACGCTACGTGTTGCGTGCTGCGTATCGGGGCAGCTAAGCTGGGGAGTAGTGTCTCTACTATTGGTCATGCTACGGCTGCTACGTGCCACTGCCGACCCCCACCACCCGCAGGAGCAGCAGCTGAAGAACCGTGCCTCCGCGCAGACCTCCCTCTCCACCGAGGCGAGCGTGCTGCGCGAAAAGCTCGAGAGCGAGAAGAGGAAGTCCCAGGCTGGCGGAATAGTCGGCCTCCTCGTCCTCTCTATTCGTCGATCAGTCCCAGGTCGGCGGATGTATCGCCCTCCTCGTCCGCCTACTTGTCGTTCGAAGATGCTCGTTCGGTCCTCTCTCTTCCACTGCCTGCCCTCCTCTGTCAGTCCCCGCTCTGCGTTCGTGGCCGGATCCTTCCCGTCATCTGCACCGCTTCTTTTGCACCCTCCTGCTGCACCGCGGGGGCCGCCCCGAGGGCAGGTGGAGCCGCCACCCTGACCCTAGAGGTTCGGCAAAGTTTTACCATCAGATGGGCGGCGAGAGGAGCTTGAAGATGGCGTCTTCGGGGGTTCGAAGCGTTTCTCCGGATGGCCGTCTTGGTGGGGCGACCGTGGTTTTTCTCCAGACGGCCCTCCAGACGACCCTTCGTTTTCCTCGGTACCTACAGCTATCCGTCATCCACCCCCTGCGTCTCCGCTCTTTCTCATCATCCTCCCTCCTGCTTTTCTTCATCTTGTGTTGAAAGAGCCTTCTTCCAATTCTCATACACTTCTCCCCTCCCTATCCGATCCCCTCCCCTATCCTCCCTTCCCATCTCCTCCCCTATCCTCCAATCCCGTCCCATCCCCTCGTTCTTCCCATCCTCTGTCCAATCGTCACATCCCATCCCGTCGCTTCGTTGTTGTCTGCAGCTGGTGGCATGCACACTGGGTACCCACTGGTCGCATTGCCGAGCTCCACGCTGCCGAGCAGGTGCGTAAGCTTGTAGCTAAATTATTATGTGGCTTACGCCACATCCGCCGACCCCTTGTTTTTCTTTAGCGGTTACCGCCGGGTGTGGTGGATTCCGCCACGGTGGTCACTGGGGCTGCACTGGCTTGCTTGGAAGGCTGTGCGGGGCCTCCATTGGTACGGAAGCAGTGCTGCTTGAGCCAGATCGATTGAAGCGAGAGGAGGATGAAGAATGGTAGGAGGAGGAGGAGCAGGAGGGGGAGGACGAGGCGGAGTAAGGAGAGGAGTATAATGTGGTATCGGAGAATACGACGACGACGACGACGACGACGACGACGACGACGAAAACGACGACGACGACGACAACGCAGTGTTGGTTGAACCGTCGTGGGAGGCGTGTCGGGAGTCTCTTCGAGGCAGTTTTGAGTCTTTGGGGGGCCGTTTTAGGGTCTCTGCTGGGCCTCTTGGGGGACTCTTGGATTTTCTTTGGGGACACCAGAACAGTCTTCATCCCCTCCTGGGGAGAGGGGCGTGGCCCTTTTGAGCGGGCGGCGGGTACGTTGCACCACATCGCTTGCACAACGTAGGTCGCACCACATAGACGGCACTACGTGTACTTCACTGCTAAAATGATTCCATGTTCATTGCGCCAAAAACATTCCACCACATACAGTGCACCGAACGTATTGCAACTCTCAGCATGATTGAACACTTGGTTTGGGACCCACGCCAGGTAAGAAGTCTGCGTTTGAACGAATGTTCTTGATGCCCGGCTGCGGGCATGTTATGTCGACCACGTTTTGACGACCACGTTTGTGGAGGGGCGCCGCCGGATCATCGTCACCATCATCACCATCGTCACCATCATCACCAGCACCAGCAACACCAACATCAGCACTTTCCTCATCACCATCCGCATGAACAACAAAACCATCATCATCAGCATCATCATCCTCATCATTGTCGTCATCGTCATCGCCACCATCATCATCATCATCGTCATCATCATCACCATCATCATTATCATCAGCATCGTCATCATCATCAACATCACCCTCATTACCAGCACCAGCACTATCATCATCGTCATCATCGTCATCACCATCAGCAATAACATCATCGTCATCACCATTATCATTATCATCATCATTGTCATCATCATCATCATCATCATCATCATCGTCATCCCCATCATCGGCACCATCCGTCATGACCAACCTTCATCAACCATCATCATTACCATGCTCATTGTCGTAGTCATCATCATCATCATCAGCAGCAGCAGCAGCATCAGCATCACCATCCTACTGATCATCATCCACGCCATCATCGTCAGCATCATCATCGTCAGCGTCACCATCCTCCTCCTCATCATCATCATCATCCCGCTTCATCATTGTAATGATTACATCGCTTCACGAACATCTTCCTCAATCTAGTTGTTTCCCCACGTGTCCGGCCTCCATATATACCTCATCCTCATCTGTTGGCCTCCCTTCCTTCTCTTCCGTTTCCTTTTCCCTCCTCTTGCCCCTTGTTATTTCTCCGCCGTTGCCTCCTCTTATCTGTTTCGTTCTTTTCCACCTCCTCCTCCTCCTCCTCCTTCTCCCCCCCCTCCTGCGTGAGGGCTTTGTTCTTCTTCGCAGGGTAGCGCTCGTTGCCCGGGCCACCCCCCCGGGTAACGCTGGCGATCGTACCGGAGGGGTGGCCTGGACACCCCAACACATGCTGTGGTGCACACAGGCGAATGATGCGCGGGTGGCGCGGACGCACCCTGGCGGGTGCACGCCGCGGCCACCGTTAAGGTTACCCTCCCGCCCGCCCCCCCCCCTCGGGGTAACGACCGTTACCCGGGAAAAAAGGAAACGGTCATTATTCCTCCTCATCTCATTCGCCTTTTTTAAGACGGCCGAGCCCGCTTGCCAGGCCCAGATCGCGGCCAATGACCAGATGCGGCAGCGCTACGAAGAGAAGCTCAGGGAGAAGACGGAGGACAACAGGAGGGACAAGGACACAGGGAGAGCTTCACCACCCCTGGCAAACCCATCCATCACCCCTCACCATCCTCAAACCACCACCCTCCGTTCTCCTCACTGTCATCCTCCCCTTCCATCGGCGTCGGCCTCGTCGCTCTCCTCCTCCCACAACTCCGGGAATGGACGAGGAGAGGGTGACGTCACGGGGGACGAGGAGGTCTGGGGAGTGGTGACGGATGGTCTTTGGGAAGAAGGGGAAGAGGACGAGGCGAAAGGGGAGGACGGGGAGGAAGCGGAGTACGAGGAGGACGAGGAGGATCAGGAGAGGGGAGTAATTATGAGGGGGGGGGGCGAAGAGGTCACATGGACGACGGGGACGTGGAGGAAGAGGAGGATGCGGAGGGAGATGAGGCGGAGGGAGGCCGAGGGAGGAGCAGGCGGGGACGAGGATGGTGAGGTCGTTCCAGTGCGGCGCGGAACCTTCGGGAACGAGCCCAGATCCCCTCCAGCCCCCTTCCCCCCCGCCTTCCTGCCCCGCGGCCCCCGGCGGATCACTCGGCCCTTGCCGCTGGCTCGCCTCGCCCAGGAGGGCCGAGCCTCCTCGAGTCAGAAGGGGAAAACACACACACACACAGTGAATCGTCGATTCCCAGGACAATGTGGGAAAGTATGGGAAGGGGGGGGGGTGAAGTCAAAAGCCCAGAAGATGTGGGAAGGTGTGGGGGACCCTGCTCTTCGTGTCTACTTCCTCGTGTGTCCCAGGGCCCCTTCCTCGAGGCCCTGCTCCCGGGACCTCCGACGCCGGGGCTGGCTGGCTTCCGCAGGCGTGGGCCCCCCCGGGGGGTCCCGGCCACTACCTCTCCGAGGGCCAGAGGCCCCCGCGGCCCAGCCGGGCGGCGAGCGCGGCGAGCGCGGCCGCCGCCCCTGCTCGGGGGGCAACGCGCCAGGGACCCAGGCCCCCTCGAGTCATGAAAAAATCACGACGACAGGTTTTTCATTATTTTTGGCCTCCGGGGGCCCTTACCGGCCCTCGGGACCGTCAAAAAACGACTCAGGACGAAAAACCGGTCCCGGGGAATGGGTCCAGACCGCTGGGGGTCGACGTCATGAAAAATTCATGACGTCGGGGGTCTGGGGAGGCCTCCCTGACGAGGAAATCCAAAGGATGCCAACGGTAAAACTATGGAGGGCGACATATGCCACAGTGCACAACATTTCCGACGCGGATGCCCCCAAGGTGATGGAAGAGGCAGGGGTCCGTCAGGCATCCTTCACGCTCGGGGGGCAACGCGCCAGGAGGCCCACTAGAAGCCCCTGTGCCAGCCCCCCCGGGGGGCTGGCACAGCTGGGCTTCGAGTGGGCCCCGGGAACCAGCAGGGCCGGTGTTTAGCCGTTTCCGAAAGAGTGTCCCTTGAAGATGGAAACGGCAATCCAGGAGCAATTGGGGGTCGAGGCGTTCCCCCGTGGCTCAGTGGGCCCCGGAAACGGCAGGGCCGTTTTTTTATACCGTTTCCGAAAGAGTGTCCCTGGACAGTGGAAACGGCAAAAAAACGAATGGAAACGGAAAAGAGAAACGGCAACAAAAACAACAAAAGCGGCGCCAGGAGTGGATCCGGAGCGGGAGCCCGCAAAAGAAGGGCGACGGAGCCGGTAAAAAAGCGGCGTCGGAACCGGCAGCAAAAACGGCAAAAGGGAGCCGGTAAAAGAACGGCCTTGTCGTCTCCAGGGCCCACGAATGCACAAGGGGGGGCGCATCGGCCCCCAATCGCGCACTGATCGCCGACAGGGTTCTGATCGGCCCCCCCCCGCCCGGGAAGGTGCGGTTCTGCGCTCGGGGGCCCCTCGCCGATCTGCCCGCGGTGTGTGTGGCCGACTCCAGGTCGACGTCTGTCCTTACAGTCGGGGCCCTGAAGAAGGAACCTTTTTCGTTGGGGAGGGGCTCCGCGTTCCTTAAGTGTTTCGCAGCTTGCCTCCGGTTTTCCTTATGTTTCCGATCGGAAATCGAAATTCAATTTATGGAAAATAGGGGCCTCGTTCCTTATTTAGGGTTCCTTAGGTCAACGCCCCGACTGTATTCCTGCCTGCGCGCATGCGTGTCAAGACGCGAGGATGTGGGATACCTCCTTCCTCCGTGGGGCCCAGCGAGACCGCTCGGAGGCCTGAAGCGGCCAAGTACTGCCCGCAGTGCTCTTCCATGGCGGGAGGAAGTTAAAGTCCTGGGTCCTCCCTCCTCCTCTTCCTCCTCCTCGTCCTCCACCCCTTTCCCTTATGAGTAATTCCTCCCTGCTGCACCCCCAGACGTGTCGGTAGGGCGGGCTGGGGGTCGCTTGAAGCTTCCTCACCGACAGTGGTCATGAGGCTTGAACATTGCGACCTTTTCATGGGTGGAGGGCGGATCGTTTTCAAGATGAATCTCTCGTTTCAGCACATCGCACGTTCGCTTCAAAAGCTTACGACAGCTTCAAGGATGGAGGGTGGGTCGTTTTCAAATTGTGATTCTGGCTTTACGGCCGTGCACATTCGTTTACAAAGTTTGCATTCGGTTCAAGGATGGGGGACAGGTGGTTTTCAATCTGTGGCTCTCGCCATAGCACCGCGCACTGCGCTGGTTCTGAAGGTTGCAACAGCTTCAAGGATGGACGACCGGTGCCTTCTTCAACATGTAACTATTGCTTGCGTCGCGTACTTTTGTTTTAAGCGTGTACGAACTGTTCAAGAACTCGACTCGTATGGTGAAGATCCCAAGGACGGTGCTCCGTCACGACTTTCGACTGTCTGAACGCAACAGTCCCCGTTGAATCGCAGTGCTGAAGGCCCAGCAGTGGTGTTCTGGCACGGCTTCTGGTTTGGAGGATGCAAAAGCCACGTGGATCCGCGGCGTAGAAGTCCAGGGAACGTGTTCTGGCACGACTGGGGATGCTCAGACAATTGCCTTCTGATGGGCCACTTCCCGCAATGAAGGTCGATTGGTGCAAGGGCGTATGACGAGGGAACTTTGGCGGAGGGTTTACTGCAGCATCGTTGATGCGTCTTGGGTCTGCACTGGTCCTCCTTCCTCCCCCTCCCCGCTGGTGGCCGTCGCGGGGGCGGCGATGCACTACGGCCGCGCCCCCTCCCCCCCCCCTCCCAGGGGACGACGGCTGCTCTTGGAGCTGCTCTCGCCCTCCCAGGGCCGCGGGGGGGGTTCTGTCGACGAACAGGAAGCGGTGTAAGAATATAAGCTTTTGGAGCTCCGCGCGGGTTTCTTGGATCAGCTCTGGGCCGCCCCGGCGCGCTCCGCGAGCCCGGGAGGGGGGGTCCACCGTCGAACCGGGAGATCCGCGCGGAGCTCCAAAGGTTTATGTGTGTGCCCCCTTTGGTTCCCCTAAGTGGGGCGCGCCACGGCCGGCCAGAGGGGCGGTCCTTGCGGAGCGTTCTCTGTCGCTATGGAGCAAGCGGGTCTTCAGGGAAGCGGGTCCTTCTATCGTTCGGCGCTTTCGGTTTCCGGGGGTCTCCGCCCCCTTCATGGAGGGCTCGGCAGGGATGGGAGGTGATGGAGTGATGGAGCGAGAGAGGCTCGCTGGCGGCGAACCGTCGGCGTGGGGTGGCCCAGCAGGGGGTGGGGAGGCGGTGCTTCGCGCCGACGCTCGCGCGTTCCGTGCGCCCCCGGCGCGAGGAGGCGGCCCGGAAGTCGATCCAGGCCGCCGCCACCACCAGGGGGGGCGGGCTGGGGGCGGGGGCAGAAGCCTTTGGAGAATGGAGAACGGAGGTCGGCGACGACGACCCCGTGGAAGACGGCGGCGGCTGCGGCGACGACGACTGCGGCGACGGCAGCGGCGGCCAGGACGAGGAGGGGGGGAAGAGACAGGGGACGGGAACGAGGACGCGGAGCTGGAGGAGGACAGGAGAGCAGGGTGGACGGGGTGGAGGGCGGAACGAAGGAGTAAGAGGCGAGGTGGAGGAGAAAGAAAGAGGGGGGAGCGGGAAGGGGCGAAGGAGGGGCCGTGGAGAAGGGGAGGAGGAATACGGATCAGCAGGAGGGTTTTTGCCGCGCGCGGTGAGGAAGCCGAGCGAGTTGGGTCCGTGGAGGCGGCGTCGCAACTGCCGAAGTCGAGCCCTGTGCGAGCATCTCTCTGGAGCTGCCTTGCAGGTGGGCATGCCCTCGGGCGGCCAAGCCTTGACCCCCCCCCCTGTGCTGGAGGGGGCTCCGTCGATCTGCCGGGGTGCGTTCGTCCTCCCTCTCATCCACCTCCCTCCCTTTGCCTTGGCATCGCTCGGACGTGTGCATGGTTTCTTCCGGCGAGGGCAACTGCGGAGCATCTCTCGGGGGCGGAAAAGAGGGGGGTGATGACTAGGGGGTGGTGGATATCATGGCGGGGGCCATGATATTTCCCCAGATCTTCTGGCGCCTCTTCTTATTTCATTACGTCCCTGGCCCACCCGCTGGTCCGCGCACATGCCGCCGGTCATGATTTGCACCCCCCCCTCTTGGACACCCCCCTCTTGGCCGCTCCCGAATCTCTCACCATGGAGCAAAACAGGCACACACACACACACACACACACACACGCACACGAAGCCGACAAATGCACGGGGAATGGACGTCCGAGCGACGGCAAGCTGTTACTGGACCCTCGACAGCAGCCCATCGGGACGAGCTGGGGCCGGGGCATCGTGAGGCGGCCCGGGGGTAGCCCCGCCCACTCTGCCGAGCCTGAGGCGTTCGGTCGTACCGCGGCACCCAGGCGCCAGCTGGGTCACCCACCCGCTCATCCTTCCTCCCCCCTCCTCACCTCAGAGGCGACGTCAGGGGGGGAGGGGGGGGGATAGGCCCACGGGGGATCACATCGGCCCCCAATTGCCCATGGATTGCCGACGGGGACCTGCTAGCCAACCCCGCCCAGGAACGTGTGGGTTTCCCACTGGGGGCCGCCCAGTTCTCGCAGCTCTGTCGGTGATGTATCGCCGATTCAATTTCGATGCTTGCCCCCTGACCTGGTCCCCCCCCCAGCGCTTTCCCCCCCTTCCTCCCCTTTTCGTCTCCTTCGTCGAGAGATGGGCGGTGAACGCTGGTCTGATTGATGGCGCCGCTTTGCCCAAGGTTGAACGGTCCACGGGGCGTCAGGCACCAACATCGACGTCGGCACGGCACGACCCCGCCGTACGGATGATGGCGGCGTTCCCCCCGTCCCCACTTCGCTCCAGGAGACCTGCAGTCGCGCTCCCGCGCCGCCCGCTGGAGAAGGGCACCCCTCCCGCCCACACCGCGAAGCGCTGCCAACGTAGCGCCCCGTATCCTCGACGACCCGAACCCACAGCTCAAGGTTGAACGATCCACGTGGTGTCACCAGCACCGACACTGTCACGGCATAAGCCTCGTCGTCGTCCGTTGTCCGTCTCGCCATTATCGTCGTCGTCGTCGGTCGTCCTTCTCGTCGCCGCCGCCGCCGTCGCCGTCGCCATCGCCGTCTCCGTCGTCATCGTTGCCTTCGTCGTCGTCGTCCTTGTCTTAGTCCTCGCCCTCGTCCTCGTCGTCCTCGTCATCCTCATCGTCCTCGTCTTCCTCGTCCTCCTCGGCATCCTCGTCGCCGTCGTCCTCGTCGTCGTCGTCGTTGTCGTCGTCGTCGTTATCGTCGTCGTCGTCGTCGTCGTCGTTTTCGTTGTCGTCACCGTCGTTGTTTTCGTCGTCGTCGTCGCCGTCGTCGTCTTCGTCTTCGTCGTCGTCGCCGTCGGCGTCGTCGTCAATTTCGTCGTCATCGTCGTCGTCGTCGTCTTCGTCTTCCGTCGTCTTTCCCCCTTCCGCTCCCGAGCCCCGGCCTGCCTCCGACCCCCCACAGCCGCAGGCGGAGCAGCAGAAGGCCCAGGCCGAGCAGCACCGCGCGGGGGAGCTGGAGCGGCAGCTGGCAGAGGCCGCCACCGAGTGAAGAGAGAGAGGGTCAGAGCCCCCATGAGGGTCCGAGGTGGCCCAGCACGGGTCCTGGCCGGCAGGAAAGGCGGGCAGGCTCGAGGTCCTGGGTGTTCCGGGTTCGGGACGGTGTTTCTCTTCTGTTCTCCAGGAGCCGCTTTCGGGCCTGGGGCGCTGAAGCATTGATCTGGGGTGAAAGACTTTCACCAGCGGGGACCGATTTGGAGCGCACTTGGCGTCGTCCCCCTCTCCTGACTGTTTTTGTCCGGGGTCCCAGCCGGTGCAGACCCGCCGGCCGCCTCCCACAAAGAGGGTCGTCCTGAGCTCGGTCGCGCGCCCGCGGGGGGAGGCAGGTGTTGGGAAGTGTTCGTTGGTGTGCCTTCCAGCAGCTGCGCCTCGCCGACAGCCAGGGGCACCCGAATCGTCATAAACGGCCGCCGCCGGCCCGAGTTACGACCCGAAAGCCACCAGCAGAGGGGGGCGGGTCTTCTCAGAAGACTCAATAGCTGTGGGAAGCAATTCTTGACGCCTCGCGTCTCCCGGCCCAGCCCGGAGTTTGGCGCCGACAGGGCGACTTCCCCGCGCTGCTACAGTACACATGGCTAGCCGCGCTGCAGTTGCTACCGCTCGCTGCGTCGTGTTACCCACACCGGGGCGGCTTCTCCACGCTGGTCGCAGTTACCGCTGCACGCCGCGGCGCGGCGTCTCCACCCGTCGGGGCGTCGACGTTGGTTTGCTGTGCTCAATTTGGGTCATTATGTTTCTAATGAGGGTCATTTTGTCCCTTGCACGTGCACTCGCCTGTGCGGCTTACGCGTCGCTTTGACCAATTATCTACGGCCTGTGCCCCAGTCGTTTATCCCGCTTCTTGACAGTTGTCCTGGAGCCGCCAGACAAAAAAGTCTCCCGGCCCATCCGTAACCAACGCCCGTGTGAGTTGAGACGATCAGGGAAGTGTAGAAACAAATAGGGGGACAGCCGTCATCGCTCGTGGCAGGAGGAGGATCGATTAGGGATGAGGGAAAATGATGATGCATTTGTTGATGATGAGGAGCAGGAGTAGGATGACGAGGAGGAAGAGGAGGAGGAGGAGGAGGAGGAGGAGGAGGAGGAGGAAGAGGAGGAGGAGGAGGAGGAGGAGGAGAGCGAGCAGACGTTCCAGAGGCCTCTTGAATACCTGTCGGAGTCTCATCGGAAGTCTCTTGGCAGCCTTGTGGAGGCCTCTTGGGGCGTCGTGGGGGCCTCTTGGCGGCCCCGGGTGCGTCTTTGAGCGTCTTGGGTGCCTCGGGAAGTTTCTTCGGCCCTCTTGGGGGCTTCTTGGGAGCTTGTTGGGTGCTTCAGGCCTCTTCATCTTGGGGCCTCCTGGGCGCCTCTCGGGGCCTTGTTGAGGCTTTCTTGGGAGCCTTGGAGACGCTTTTGGGCCATCTTGGAGGAGATCGATCAAAGAAGGGGAGAGCTTCAACTAGCGTCCCCCGTCCCCCTTCGGGAGCGCCTGAGATCGCCTCTGGGGCCTCTCTTGGGGCGCTATTTGAGCGCCCTTGGGCGCTCTTGGGGCCGTCTTAAGGTTCTCTTGGGCCTCTCTTCTCTCTTGGGGCCCTCTTGGGCCCTCTTGGGGAGCCATCTTGAGGCTCGGAAGGCCGTCGAAGGCAAAAAACGAGAAGGCACACCTCATTCATGTTCACTTGGGTTTTGACGGGTGTTTGGCCTCTTGGCGGCCTCCTGGGGAGTTTCCGTGGCCACTTGGAACCGTTTTGGGGCGGTCTTGGCACCTCTTGGAGCATCTTGGAAGCCATCTTGAGCCATCCTCGGCCGTTTCGACCCATCTTGGAGCTCATCTTGGTTTTTTTTTTTTTTTTTTTTTTTTTTTTTTTTTTTTTTTTTCTGAGACCCTCTTGGAGCCATCTTGGGCCATCTTGGATGCTCCAGCGCCTCGCCGCCATAAGTAAGACGGGGGAGGAGGGAGGAGGGGTAGGTCCTCCTCCTCCTGCTCCTCCTTCTCTTCTTGCCAAGAGTGGTCACATGGCTTCTGGCGTCGCAGGCCGAGTATCGTTCAGTTGTTCAGAGCCTTGGACGCACCGTGGGCTGAATTCAACCCGAGTCCAGGGAACAGGCACCCGCCTTCTCGTAAAGTGATGTCGCGCATTTTTCGGGGAGTGTTCCAGAGCGTGACGGTTGCTGCCGAGGAGACTCGTCAGCAGGCGAGAGGTTCCACCAAAAAGCGCGGCCCCACCGGTGTCCTGGCCGCCCCCCTTCGAACAATCCGTCATCTCCCAGTGGTGGCGGAGGCCGAGGAGTGTCCTGGCCGCTCTTGCTCCGTCGCGCGTGCGGCCTCGCCTCGAAACGATCGCTGGAGGGTGGATCGCATCAGCGCGGGTAGGACTAGTGACCCCGACAGGCTGCAAGTTTGGATGCGTTGATGAATGCATCGGGATCAAAAGTGCGAGCTCCTGACCCTTTGCCTCACTACCTTTCTTGCCCTCGACTGTCTCACCGTCCCGCCTTGCCTCGCTCGTTCATCCCATCCGATCCCATCATTCATCTCGGGCTTGGTCTAGAAAGCGCTTGCACTGCTGCTTGGGAATACGACCCCATTTCGCTCAAGAGAGCCAACATTCTCACGGCATTGGCCTACCGTCCCTTTTCATACATATAGGCCGGAGCTCCAACATGCTCCGCAGTTCCAAGGATCCTATCCACTGCTCGTGTCCGACACGCCTCGCTGCTGTCGTCCGAGTCGAGCTCTCCACGTTCGAGGCGCTCCGTCCGGAGCCCCGCGCCCCCGCGTGCTGCCGCCGCCGCCGACGCAGTCTGAGTGAGGACGTGGATGGTTCATCTCGTGGGGTGCCTGCGTTGCTCCTCCGAGGCCGTGTTTTGCGCGCGCTGTCGCTGCCCGTTCCTGCTGCTGCCGCTGGCAGCTTCCGCCGGCGTCCTGCTCGAGCTTTCCTGCTGCTGCCGAAGGGCCACCGTCGCCCCCCTTTGTTCTCTGGGGCCGCAGCTCGCCGCTAGCGCGGGGCCCTTGATTGTTCGGCGTCGCCGAGTACCTCGGCCCTGTGGCCGGCCCGGCAACCACTTGCTGCCCTGCCAACCAGACCTTCGGTGGCGCTGGGAGTGCCTTCGTGCTGTCTTTCCTCCCTGGTTCTATAGTCGTTGGCGCCTGCTCGTGCTGCTGGCGCGCGTGCTTCGCAGGAGACGGCAGCATGAAGTATGGGCGGAAGGCTTACATCCAGTGGCGACGCCGCGAGTCGCGGCAGGCTCGCGTGCTCCCCGCGCAGCGCCGACGCGTGCGAGAGCGAGGTTGGGACACGTGCGACGGCGAACCATGCGTTGGCGAACCAGGTCCGGGACGTGTACCCCCACTTGCTCTGCTGCCCGCCGTTGAGCGGGTTCGTGCTGATCGACAACTCGGGGCTGCCGCTTCGAGAGTTGAGGATCGGGGCGCAGCGGGCGGTTCAGAATGCGGCGTACGGCGACCAGTGGGAGCCGACAGCGCTCGAGTTCACCGAGGCGCTGAATTTCGCGGGCGGGCTGACCGACGGCCCGAGCAGCGCGGCGACGGCGGCGGTGACGGCGCCACCTCGCCGCTTTCGCGGCAAGGAGGCGCCCGCCGACGTCGGCCTCTTGGCGCAGGCAGCAGCGGCAGCGAGTGGGATCGCGGTCAGGAAGGGCGCGCTGCCGTTGGCGGCTCCGCTCGACTGCTTCGTCGTCAGGGCCGCGGACGCCGCGCCCATCCAGCGGGCCCTGGTCTCGTGCGATGTGGATGTATACGCTGTCCTCGGCGATTTCGCGCCGGCCAGGGTTGGCTCCGCGCTCCTTATCTTGCGCGCGGTCGACCCTGCCGGCCCCGGCAAGGACGGCGAGTTGGAGGCCCGCGTGCTTTCGGCGGTGACGGGGCCCGATTGCGTTCGACATCGACATTTTTGTTGTGGGTCAGCTCGCGCGCTCTCAGTCTCGTCTTGGCCTGGCCCGCCGATCCTCGGCCCGCGGACCGCGGTCTGGCGCTTCGAGATTTTTGCGCAGCGCGACCAGCGCCTCAGGGCAACGTGCGCGAAGTGGGTTCACGAGCGCGGATGAGGGAGTGCAGGGCAACGACTTTGCGATGCGCGTCTGGGATGCTGCCCTACGCTGCGGCCAGCTGGCCATCGGCGAACTGGCGCGCGTCGGGCTGTTCCCCAGCGGGGCGCAGGTGTCTGAGCGGCCCCGCAGGGGTCGCATCCTCGGGCGTCAGTCGGGCGACGCGATGGGCACTTTCCTCTCGCGCGGGCGCGGGCGAGACGCGCGGGCCGCCGATGGTCTTGCCCGAGCTGCGGGGGCGCGTCGAGAGCGAGCTCCACCGGGCGGCGCGGGTGCTCAGGGAGAAGAGGAAGATGGAGGAGGATAGATTGCTGGCACGACCAGGCTCCGGCTTGGGCGGCGCAGGTGGCGACGGCGAGGCCGGGCTGCAGGCGGGGGCGCAGCGGTGGGCCGAGGGCGCGCGCGGGCCCCGGGTGAAGATCTCAGACTTGGCCGCGAGGGCGACGTGGCCCGCGGCCGCGGCGCGGGCCAGGGTCGCGACGACGGCGCCCAGGGCGGCTCTGCGGGGCTTTCCGCCTCTGCAGCCGCCCGCCGCAGCCGCCGACGGCCTGGCCTCCGCGGGCCTGCCTGCGCCGCCCCGGGGCGCGACCGCGTTGACGCTGGGCCCCGAGCCAAATGCCCGAGGGGGCTCGTCGTCTCCTTGCCATTGCCCGGCCCAAAGCGTGACCCCTCGGCGCCCCTGGCGGGCAAAGGGTCGGGTCAGCGGGCGCGCCGGCGCACGCGGCTGTCGCCGAGAAGCGCCCCGAGCAGCGCCATCGAGCCGCGCGTTGACCAGAGCTTTCGGCGCGGACACGTCTACGCTCAGAACCTTTGGTCTCGTCGCCGCGGGGCTCGCCGCGCTGGGCGCGCCCGCAGATGCCGCCCTCGGAGCTTTCCTTGTCTGGGAGCCCAGTTGCAAGCAGATGCGCTTCATTCTGGGCGCTCGCGCATTCAATGGTCTTCTTGAAGCGCCCGAGTTGCCCGCGGCAGCTGCGTGGGCCGCTGCTCGGCCCGACTCGGGTGACTTGGCATGCGCGGCCCCGGTCGACGTGGGCAACGCTTCCCACCGAAACTCTGCCGGCGCTCGGCATGTCCGATTCTTTCATCCACCCCGAGGTGCATTTGCCCACTCCCCGCGCTGATCGGGCTCCGACTCGAGCTGCGCGTTGACATGGGCGGCGTCTTCGTCTCTCCCCACCGCGCGGGCCCTTTTCTTAGGCCAGAAGCTCGTCGAGGCTAGCGCGCTGAGGCGCGCGTTCGGCGCGCGCCGCCCGCTGCGCCACATTCAGCAAGTCGGGGCCCTGAACGAGCCGACGATTGCCGCGCGCGCTGACAAAGTGGCCGCCGTCGGCGCCGGCAGCGCCAACAGCGCCGCCACGTTCGCCAGCGTCGCGGCCGACCTCGAGGGGCGCGGGCTGAAGAGCAAGAGCGTCGCGGAGCCGGCCGCGCTCCGGCAGTTCACCGGCCCAGTGATCGAGCGGGGCGCGGGGCGCGCGGGCGCGTCTCGGGGGCGGCTCTGGCGGGCGTGGCTGGCCGCGCAGGATTTCCCGGGCAAGGATTTCCGCGCCGGGGGCGAGCTGCTGCGCGTCGTCGGCCATCCGACCTGGGCCGTGCTGATCAGGAGGAGCCTCCTTTCCATCCTGCAGTCCTGCTGCGTCTTCTGCCGCGGGAATGGCAGCCCGCGGCGCCTGCTGCGGTCGCGCGCTCGGCATGAGCTGTTCCGGGCCTCGTTTGTCGTTGTCTTCAGCTTCGCGGGCGCGAGGGCGCCCGCGGACCAGATGGTCTCGGCCGCCGACGCGTCGGGCGCCGGCGACGACGGCGACTCCGGAGGCCTCGGCGTCGTCGAGCGGAGCGTGTCCCATGAACTTGTCGAGAGTGCCAGTGGGTGCTCAGAAAGTGGCGCTTGGTGCTCGAGGCCATCGCCGCCCGCCAGCTTGTCTTGGGGTTTGACGCCCCCGACGTGGCCCTCAAGCGGCATCGCTCACGGCGCGGCAGTTCTTCTTTCCATCCAGTCCCCAGCGATGTGGATCGCCCTGGGCGCGCTGCACGCGCCCGTCGGCGTCAAGCATCGTCTGCGTCGACGGTTCGCATCGTCGCCGTCATCTCACGCTCGTCGATAACCTGGGACTGGCATGAATGGCTATTGGGACGGGGAGGTCGTCAGCTATCCACGTCAACCGTGTACTTCAAGTAATCGCCGCCCTCAGAATTTCCACCGGCTCTATCTTCGTCCCTAGGTGGATTCCATCAGTGCGTGACCCGTCTGATCGCCCATCCCGCATGGCTCCCGGCTCAGTTCGCGACCGTCGGGGAGATCTCAGATATGTCGCGGCGATCGGGGCCCGCGGTCCACACCTCGGCGGCGACGGGCTCGCGGCCGAGATCGATGCCCTTGCTTGCTGCCGGCCTCCGCTCGGCGGCGGCCGCCTTTGCTTCGGGGGCGAGCTTCAGGGCGACCCCGCGGTCTCAGGCGCCGCCGACGTCGGCTTCTGGGCCTGCGGCGATGGGTAGGCTGTTGCGCTGCAGAGACCAGCTCAAGCGACTCCTCCGACGCCCGTGGCGAGCCAGGGAGCCCTGTCAGCGATAAAGGCAGGTCAGCCGCCACGCAGAGCTCCTCCGAGCCAGGCGCTGAGGATGGCGAGAGGACAATGCCGCGCGGCACTGCGCGCGGAGGCGAAACAAAACGCCGCGCAAAGGGGCCCCGCTCTTCTCCAGCGCCAGAAGCTCTTTTCAGTCGGCGGGCTTCGAGAGCGAGTGGGAGGAGCTGCCGACCTTCTGCCGGGTGAACCAGTTGCCCCTGACCACCGCAGACGCGGCCATTGGTCGCTGCCTCGACAGCCTCTTCCTGGGCGGGCACAACCGCGACAACAGGGAGAAGGCCATCGCCGCGGCCATGCACAGCAGCCCAGCCCTGCCGCTGGGCGACTGTCGATCGTGTCCGTGGACCTACTTCGCCGCGCGAGGGCTCAGACGGCTGGCGCCAGGGCGGGCGCGGCCTTCACTGCCCAGGCCCGCCCTCTTCGCGGCGGCGGGCCTCGCGGGGGCGACTGGCCGCCTGGAGCCGGCCTTGGCGCTGAGCTGGGCCTGCTGCCCGAGGCTCCCAAGCGACCTGGCTCGCTTGGCGGGGGCCTGTCTTCTTGTTCCGCCGACAGGTGCGTCGGGGCGCTGGAGATTGCCAACGCAACCCGACGAGCTGAGGGCGCGAAGCCAGACCGGCAACTTCGACGAAGGCGTGCTTCTCAGCAGCGGGATGTCTAGCGCGGCAGGAGAGTCTCTGGGCCGCCTGCGCGCGACGCGCGCGCCAGCCGAGCGATTGTGGACGTTCGACGGAGGCCAGTTCCAAAGGGCGTCCAAGCAAATGTTCATCCCCATCGGCCTGCCAGGCGCTCACCCGCATCAGGTTCGACATGGCGCGGCCAGCTCAGATGCTGCCGAAGGTCGGCGGGGCGCGGCCGAGGTCCAGGTGCGGCTCCGACATCAGACCGACTCGTCCACCTGTCGGTGCGCTCGGCACGCACGCTATTTCGCCGAGCTTGCTAGGGTGCCCAAGTCGATGGTGGAGTACGGTGAGATGGTCGAACGCCGCCTGGCCGACCTCCGTGTTCCTTTTAGGGCATGGCCAGCCGAGGCCGGTACCGCATTGCCGAGTACATTTACGGTCGCCTTTTTTGGGGCGCCGCCGCTGCAGGGCGCGTGATGGTCGGGAATCTGACCCTCAGGTGCGCTCAGCGAGTGGTCAAAACGCACGTTCGGCACGGCATGCCCGCGATCCCTGAGAACCCGCAGTCGTCTCTGATGTGGCGCGAGCCAGTGTTGGCGCAGCTTATTTCACATCCCCGCGCCAGGCTCGCCGTCATAGAGTTTTGTCCGCATGACACCCGTTGGCGCAAGAGGGCGCGTTGCGCATCATGGAACTGTGAGTTGCCACCCTCGTCCCCGCGTCGTCGCTGCCAGGGCCGTCAAGGCCGATACTCGATGTCAGGCCTCCCGCATTTCTCGCTCGAGGGCGGCGCGCCTGGCGGTGCCCGCTGGATTGCGATCGCTTCCCCTTGCCCCTCCAGTATCAATCCTTTGGCCAGCCATTGGCTCACACGGAGTGCCGCCAGCGTCGAGAGCGTCCGACATAATCGTCTCGTCAGTAAGATCGGTGTGTTGCCAGTCTAAACAGATTCGAGGTTGTAAGGTTGGGCACTATTTGCGGCCAGGCGCCCAGTATGGGATATGGTGTTGTGGACCCAGTTAATGAGAAGATCTAGCATTCGAATCCTGGTTGCATGTTGTTCTTGTTCTGGCAGTGGAAAACAGAAGCCCAGCAGCAGAGCCCATTTTATGTGAACGTTATTGTTGCGCTCTCCTGCTGTTGCCGCTGCCAACTTGTGTTGGCGTCATGCTCAATCTCCTCCTCCCCTCCTCCTCCTCCTCCTGGTTTGCTCAGGTGTTGTGGGCTTAGCTAATAAAATGATTTGGTATTCGGCTCCGGCTTGCATTTCTGTGTGAGTCTCGCTTTAAGCAGCCGGGCATTTCTCGTAAATCGTTTTTTTCTTTCTTCTGGCAGTTGAAACAGGAGCCCAGCATCCTCCTTCTCCTCCTTTTCCTCCTTTTCCTCCTCCTCCTCCTCCTCCTCCTCCTCCTCCCTCTGCTACCTATGGCAATGGTGGTGAGACATCGACCCATCAGTCCCCAGATCCACGGGCCCCGGGGACCGTCGAGACAAGACGACTCGGGATGGAACGTTGGTCCTCCGAGGGTGGTCGCGGTGCGGTCGGTCCGGTTGCGTCGCAGTCGGTTGCCTTCGGTCGGTTCGGCTCGGTCGGTCATCGCGTCATTGCCGAGTCGCCGCGCTCTTCTGGGCGGCTTTGGGCCTGCCGGGTTCGGTCTCGGTTTCGTGTTGCTGTCGCCGTGCACGGTCGTGTCTTGGGGAAGGCACCCCGTTGGGCTGGGCGTAGCTGGGCCCGCCGTCCCTCGGGGCCCGTTCCCCTCGTGCCAGAGAGGCGCGGGAGGAGGTGGAGCTGCTGAGGCGGGAGCGCCAGGCGGTCAAGGCCAGGCGCCGTGCTCCTCTCGTCGAAGAGTGGAGGAGAAGCAGAGAGGAGAGTCAGACGACGAATCCGACGAGGAACAGCGGCACCAACACAAACTTTGGAGGCGACTGCTGGTTTCTTGGGTCGGCATTGGACCCCCCTCTGGCGGCGTGCGCTCCGCGGGCCAGGCAGAGGGATCCAGCGCCGACCCTGGAGATCCGCGCGGACTTCTGGAAGTTTGTGTTTTGAGGAATGTTTCTGATTCGATATTCCTGTCGGATTTGTCCGTCGCCTTGTTGGCCCAACGCTTTCACCGTGGGGCAGCAGCCATGGCACGATCTTGTCGTCGTGCTCTTCCTCTTTTTCCCCCTCGTCCATCTGCAACTTCCCCATCCCAGTAGAGTCGTCATGCTCGTGCTCCTCATCGCCATCCTTTCAGTTTGTCCCTTTTCATACATGTGCATGTGGCAACTTCCGCCTCCATGCCAGCGCAGCACTATCTGCGGGAACCCTTCGAGAGAAGCCCAGAAGACTGTGTCACTTGACAGTTCTCGTGATTCTAGTTTGGAGGTCCCAGACGTGGGACAAATTCTTGCGCAACCTCAAGGAGGGCGCCACATATGATAATGGATAGTTGTTTTCATCAGGTCCCAGGAAGGTATGGCATGTAACATATTGCCTACAAGTTGTAGAGTTTGCCGTAACATGTGATAGCTGATTCCAGCAAGTCCAGGGGGGCCGTAACATGTGACCTTGCGGGGTCGATGGCGTCCCAGAAGCTTGCATGTGGCCTCCGATGAATATCCTTGAGACTCTTGCGCAGTCTGGTTCAGAGATGTTCGGGCCGTCTTGGTGTGTCATGCGGCTGTCCCAAGAGTTCTGGAGACATTTGAAAGACTGACTGGCGACGTTGGGCCATGTTGGCCAGTCTTCGATCTCTTGCAGCCGCCTTGAAGTTTCAGTGTTGTTCATCTTTGAACGATCTCTTAGAAGGCCAAAGTATTTCTTGGTTGCCGCTCGGGTCCATCTAAAGGCTTTTCGGGCTCTGTTCAGGTCTGTGCCGGTCTTGGGGCCATCTTCGAAACGTTGTGAATATGTTCGATTCCCACACCAGTGTTTGGACCGCTTTCGGCTCTGGAGGGGCTCAGGATTTTCAGGCCGTTCTTTATCTAGGCTTATGTGTTGGACCCTGTTTGCGACCTAGGGCCGCCGCGGCCAGAAGAAAGCCCCTTCATTCCTTGTTGTGTGCTCCTTATGGTAGCACGATGACTTCAGCGAATACTGAATGACTAGGTGAAGGTTGTAGGCCGATTTCGGTAGGCGGCCAGGTTCCCAGTTCCAGATTCCCTGGTCCCCAGTTCCGGGTTCGGGTCCGATTCCGGTGGGCGGCCGGGCTCCTGGTTTGCCAACCTTGGGTCCAGAGTTTGGAGGGTGAAAGAGGGGGTCTGCAACAGGGGGTCTTGAATGGGGGCTGAATGGCCCATGTATGCTCAATGTATCGCTCATGTATGTGATCGGGTATGATTGGCATTCAATGTTGGCGGCCGTGGAGGGCCAGTCGCTCGCGCCCGCGCGTTACCAGCGCGGGCAAACGCGCCGTCCATCCATTATCGTTCATACGTGCGGGCGTTCTTGCATATCGCGCTCGGGGCGGCGAAGTGGAGAACAAGTGTGTCTTGATTGTGCTTTTGGTTATCGCGTGCGTTCCCAAACGATGACTTGTCGACCCCCAAGACAGATTTGGAATGGGGCCCGCGATTCTCCCAACATGCGAATTCACATGTTCCTTTTTTCCAACATGTGAATTCACATCTTCTTTTCCCAAAACGTGAATTCATATTCTGGCTCCTTAACGAAGGTCTTCCTACAAAACTCCAAAATGTGAATTCACATTTGCCTTTTTTTCCAAAATGTGAATTCACATGTTCCCTTTTTCCCCAACATGGGTATCCACATTTATCTTGTCCCCACAGTGTGAATTCACATTATGCCCTGGTCCTCCGGATACCTATAACTGAGGCGCTGTGTTCCGCATGCCAGATTGGCTGGGCAGATTTTGACACTCACCTCACCGCTTTCGTTTATTTTAACCTTCTCTTGTCGCGCCTTCAGCGCACGTTGCTTTCGTCGCCTTTCCCGAGCCCCACCGCCTCCTTGCTTCGTTCAACTTCAAGTCTCGCGCATGGGCGCAGGCGGGGAGCTTCAATGGGTTCCCCCGCCGAACACATCAATCGAGAATGTATCGCCCATGCATGCCCGTAGAAGCACCATTGCCAGGACCCTGCGCCCGACCCCCAGTTTCACCCTTCAGAGACTTTTTGGCGTTTGGTCTTCGAATTATTGTTGTGGCCAAGTAGCCGGGGCCTTGCGGTCGCGGTAGATTTGAGATAGTCAATCGTATACGTTGCACAGTACATTTTTCATGGTACTGGCCACCAAAGAAAGAAACATATAATCTAGAACCTCCGACCATGCCAGACGGCATGGCGATTTGGAAGTGCAGAGAATGTAAAACCAGTGGAAGGGGGAGATTGTGTACGCGAGAGTACAGGAGGGATTGACATACATATATATATATATGAAAAATAAGCATAGAGGGGAGAGAGAGAGAGAGAGAGAGAGAAAGAGAGAGAGACAGAGAGACGGAGAGACGGAGCATACTACTATACGCATGTGTATATATACATATATAGGGAGAGGAGACACAGAGAGAGGGATGGGGACAACTCGTGAGCAATTGTACACATACTGGAATTGCTAGCTGTTTCTCTGCTGGATTCTTGCGACCTTTTATAAGCATCGGGTCACTGGTCGTGGACATGGAAAGGGCATATCTTACAGTATCGAGCAGAGGCGGAAGGGGAGACAGAGAGAGAGAGGGAGAGAAACGTAGGGAAAGAAAAAGAGACAGTGCGTGTGTGTGGGCGAGGAAGTGGGAGAAAGAGAGAGAGAGGGAGAGACAGAGAGACAGAGAGACAGAGAAAGACGGAGAGAGAAAACGTGATACAGAGGAAGAAGTCATGTGTATAACGAGTGAGGTAGAGAAGGAAACAGAAAGAGAAAGAGAGAGAGACGAAGAGAGACATCAATAACGGGTAGAGAGATCGGAGGGATGAAAGATAGGGAGGGAAGGGGGGAGGGGGGGGGGAGAGAGAGAGAGAGAGAGAGAGAGAGAGAGAGACAGGAAGAGAGAGAGAGAGAGAGAGAGGAGAGAGAGGAGAGACAGAACAAAGGGAGGGATACTTAGACACACGTATCACATAGATAGAGACAGAGAGAGAAAGAGAGAGAGAGGGAAACAGAGTAGATTCCCAGGCAGCGCATGCATTGATGTGGTCCTATCGGCCAAGTCTGACAGACTATGCAAACGTTCTGCGGCCGACTCTCGCGTGGGAACAGGTACCCAGTTCCAGGTTTCGGCATGATTTCGGTCGGGCGCCGAGTTCCAGAGTTCTAGGTGTTGGGCCCGTGGTTCCGGCATTGGGAAGTTCCCATGACCCTGAGATGTCCGAGATCCCTGCGACCAGGGTCATAGCCAGAAGTTGTAGCAGAGATCTGAAGGTGCAGATCAGATGGCAACAGCATGCTTAAGTGAGCGGAGAGGGGGGAGAGACTATACATTGAAGAGTAGAGGGCATAGCTGGCTGAGACATCGGTAGGGAGAGATGGCGATGTGAGAAAGAGAGAGAGCGAGAGAGAGAGAGAGACAGAGAGAGAGAGAGAGAGACAGGGAGAGAGAGAGAGAGAGAGAAGTGTGTCTATAATTACATTTATGCATGTGCAAACAGTTGGGGAGGGGTGCCATGCGGCCACGGCCATATATGCGTGTCGAGAGAGCGGTTGGGACATTTCTTGGGCCGATGGCACAGACGAGAGAGTACGTATCAGAGGGTGCACACCATTGTTGAATGTATGTACATCGAATGTTGCATGTATGTATGTATGAATAGAGAGGGATAGTGAGACCGATACGGAGTGCTCATGCATCAAAGGTTCTTTGCATACATATATATATATGTGTATGCAAGGGGGCGCGGCCTTCAGGACGGAGGGGGTGGGGCTGCTGGAAACTTGCAGCATATACTTGGCCAGAGAGCACAGGCGCTATGCCACGGCGTGGATCTCTTCCGATTCGCTGGTTCCTTTTGATTCATTCCAGTGTTTCACACATCTGATTGATCTATTGTTGATTATTGCATGTAACACGATTTCGTAGGATCTTCCACCTTTCGAGGCATTTGGTTGGGTGTGGTTGGCGTTGATTGGCCTCACCATGAGGCACGCGCATATCGACACCACAACAACACCCATGTTGTTGCATCGTGTTGTATAATATGTAGGTAGACGAGGTTAGCTGAAGGCTGAAGAACTTACTGCTCAAGGTTGGCCGGGTAACCACCGAAGTGCCACCCGAGGTGCTTGCCCAGGCAGGCGGTTCGGCCATTCCCTTTTCCTCCGACCCTCCTGCTTCTCCCCACTGCCGGCGGCAACAATGGCGACCTATTCCTCCTCCTCCATGGAGTTGAACATCGTGACGTACCCGCTGAAGCAGAGCCCGACGGAGCAGAGCCCGACCGAGGCCGACCTTACAGACATGATCAACGACATGGACGCGGTGCAGAACATGGACACCAAGGAGGAGCTGCCCGAGGCCCTCACGATTTTTGACCACGACGGCCGCAGCTTCAGTATGTTCACCGAGCTGCGCCACGGGCTGACGAGCCTTGTCCCGGAGCTCGATGCGAGGATCTGCGGCGACGAATTCGAGGGTGGTTACGAGCAGATCGACCTCAGCACCATCGACGGCACCCATGTCAGCACGCACGTCATCATCGACGGCCATCGGGATGTCAAGCGGAAGTGCTGCCACCACCGCTGCCACTACGCCAGGAACGACACCGAATATGACACCAGGGACCCCGACGATCACGTCGATTACGACGAATTCGTCGATGCAGTCGGTAACGACCACGTCGTCAACGGCGACCGCGCTTAATACGACGACCACGTCGACTGCGCCC